AACATTTTTCCCATTCGTAATTTGTTAAACCGAAAATCCTTAAATAATTAATTGAGCATCATATAGTTTTTTTTTAAAAAAAAAAAAATTATATCTGATCTGGTTCTCTCGGATAATCAACTTTCTAAAATAGGATATATTTTAGGAAGACCTGAGAATTTTGACTGTTTTGCTTATCTACGTGGTTAATCGTATATTTAAGGGGAATTACTTTGCTAAGGAGAATTCTACAACAAAATTAATTTCTGAACACTACAATCCAGAATAAATCTGAATACATATCTATTTTAGTAAATATTTAAAAAATATGTTATATTTATAACTTATTTTCGTTTACAACTATATCTTAACCATTAATTTTCATCAATCAATAGTTATTATTTATTACGAATTAATAATTAATTAATGAGTTTAATTTACAAAAATAATAACTGTTAATTGACAAAAATTAATTGTTAAAATATAATTATAAGAGATTATAAACAAAAATAAATGGTTAGTATCACCGTTTACCAAAAAAAAAAAACAATTGTTAGTATCACCTTCCTCAATACTTAATGGGAAAAGTATTTCTCCGGTCGCTGGAGATAAAGTTATCTCTAGTGGACTTAAAACGATATCATTTTAGAGTTATAAGAATAAAAAATTATAATGATAAAAACTAATATAACCTGCAATATATTAAAATTACAAAAATACCTTGATTTCTACCCAAAAACGACATCGTTTTGGACTCACTGGAGATAACTTATGCAGAGAAATCCTTTACCCATACTTAATACCTATTTCTTGAATATAAAATCAAGGGATAGGATATTGTGACAACCAAGTCATGTTACACTCATGTGACAACCAGTCAATCTCACCGTTAAATTAGGTTTTTGATCTAACGATCCAGATTTAATCCTTATATACACCCTCACTTCCCCTTCTCTCTCCCCTTTCTCTCTGATCATACTCTCTCTTTTCCCTTCTCTCTCATCACAATCTCTCTCTTCCCTTCTCTCTCATCATACTATCTACTGCCGCCGTCGCCGCGCCTCCCCCTCTAATTCACCGCCGCCGCCACAGGAAAACGATCACCTGGATCTTCTTGATATGAACAATCTAACATTTGGTGCTTATTGTTTGATACTGCTTAATTTGGATTTTGTAGATTTTGTGGTCTATAATTAATAACTTTCTGAACCAAAATCTGTGTAGTTGATTGTTACAACCTTCCGGGTTTTGTAACTTCCGCCCTGCTTCTTATCTGTAATCATGTGTTTGTAACTTCCGCCCTGCTTCTAATTTTTGCAAGAACCTCACCAAATTGGTTCAAACATTGCTTTGCAAAATGAAAGACATAAACACAGACAAATACACTGCATTGATCACGACATAACTCTTCCAAAAAACAAAACAAAACAAAATACAGGATAATAATTAGACACACAAATACAATGAAAATCATTCCAACTGGCTTATACATAAGAATCAAATTTTGATGCGTTATTCTTTTTTTTTTTTTGAAAACAGATGCGTTATCCTTTCAAATACACTGCATTGATCACGACATAACTCTTCCAAAAAACAAAACAAAACAAAATACAGGATAATAATTAGACACACAAATACAATGAAAATCATTCCAACTGGCTTATACATAAGAATCAAATTTTGATGCGTTATCCTTTTTTTTTTTTGAAAACAGATGCGTTATCCTTTCAAATTGGTTTCCACCAATAATAGGCTGGTAGTATCATATTGCACTTTCCTGTGTGAAATTCATGGGGTTAATATCTTCCAAGTCTCTGATTCTTCAATGACATATCTGCATCATTGACAATGAATTGTGATCTTGGAGACATTATAATTAGGAGTAATCAACCAATTTGACAGACTAGAATCAACTGCAATTTCTGGCAATAGGGGTTTGGACTAAAGGACATTTGATTCGTTGCAAGGTGAAGAATTCAAGGGCACGCTTGTATTTTGCTCTGGGGGAACATTCTCCTTCCTCCTGTGGCGGCGGCGGTGGAGTGCGCGGCGGCGCGGTGGTAGATAGTATGATGAAAGAGAAGGGAAGAGAAAGATTCTGATGAGAGAGAAGGGAAAAGAGAGAGTATGATCAGAGAGAAAGGGGAAGTGAGGGTGTATATAAGGATTAAATCTGGATCGTTAGATCAAATATCTAATTTAACGGTGAGATTGACTGGTTGTCACATGGGTGTAACATGACTTGGTTGTCACAATATCCTATCCCCTGAAAGTATTTGATTGCTGCACGTACAACAGCTGCAGAAATATAAACCTTTATATATATATATGGGATAAACATTTATACAGCCACTTTAGATAAGGTTATCTACAGTTAGCCAAAAACTACGTCGTTTTGATTAATGAAGAGTGTTTCTGTAATTTTAGGTGAATTAATGAAGAGTGTTTCCGTACTTTTTATTTTATTTTATCATATATATTTTACTGAAACACCCTTCATTAATTCATCTAAAATTACAGAAACATCATTCATTGATCAAAATGACATAGTTTTTGGCTAGTTGTAGATAATCTTATCTAAAGTGACTGTAGAGATATTTTTTCATATATATATATATATATATATATATATATATATATATATATATATATATATATATATATATGAGATTGGACTTAACTTAAACCTACTGACGGAGCCACATATAATTTGGGTGTGACCTCGGTCCGGATTAAATTTTAACAAATTATACTTATTATATGTAATTATATAATTAATTATAATTTGGTTTGAGTTAAAATTATAATTTGACCTATCTAAAACTTCAAATATTTTTGGTGAAAGATTTGGATAAGTTGTATTAGGTTATGTATTCAATTTTCACTTGTATAAAAAAACCAAAATATTTTTTATAAAATTAAAAAATATTTAATAAAATTATAATTTTTCTTGATACTACCTACAAAGATGCTCTGTATTTAATATAATTTAAATATATTATGATATGAATTAACTAAAATTAAAAAAAATAAATATATATATATAATTTTTTGGTTAAGACTCAAATTGAAATTCGACTCAAACCCGTTTCCACGTGCACCCGCGCCAATTCTTGTTGAATAGTACAAGAATATAAAATTTTTATCCTAATGTAAAGTTTGTAAACTCTGCTAAACTTCATAAAACGGAAGTATATTATAATTGGAAAATCATTATCTCATTTTACTTTATAACTACTTTTCTTTTTTCTTATTAATAATAGGTGGTAGGTTCCACAATATCATATGTTTATAGTAGGAGATAACTATCTCCTACAACATGAAAAAATAGAATCCCATTATAATTATAGGGGTTTTAGTTTGTCCTTTAACATGACACAAATTTTTTTCTTACACACATAATATTTTGTGGGACCCACACTTTTAAAGCAAAATAAAAAATAAAAAATTAAAACACATAACGAATCTCTATAACATTACATCATCAATTTTTTTACAAGATAAATATTATGCTTTAAAAGATAAATCTTATAAAACCTATAATTATATGCTTTGCTTAGCGTGTGCGTGCGGATTCAGATCACTCCTCATTCGTGCAAACGTCTTTCCTTTTCACGATGACATATAAACAAAAAATAAAAATAAAAATAAAAATGAAAAGAGGGACATATTAGTCATTCAATCCTCAAAATTAGCAAAACCAGGAAAGCGCCCAAATCAAAACACGGAGGTTTTGGCTTTTTTACCCTTATAACTCTTTATTATTAATTAATTACCGATTTGACCTTGATTATAAACTATTTCAAAAATTTAACCCCCTCAAAAAACATAACACTAATCTGCCCCTGTTTGACCGTTGACCACCAAGCCTACCCGGGTACACCCCTCTGTACCCGGGTATTTTTTGAAAATTTTTGTCTATCCGGGTAGGGAGGCGTGTACCCGGGTATTGTTCTTCGTACCTGAAAAATTGCTTGAATTATTTACCCGGGTAGAGAGGGGTGTACCCGGGTAAATCTTCAACCACCCGGTATGATTACTCTTTGGATCTCTCATGCACTCTTCTTCTCCAAGCTTTGAATATAGAGGCACCGACTATCACGTGCTCTGCCTCTGCAACTTTTTTGGGTCTGTAAAGCACACAAATATTTTTCAATGATTATTTCAGAAAGAGAATTCTCAGTTAACAGTATAAATCCACAACCACAAACCTTGTCCCATGCATGTCTTCCCTGAACGTGATAATTCGTCATTTACCAGTAAAATGAAAAGCTGCATGCTCACACTAAATTTCTGTACCATGAACCCTGTCTTTATTTTCTTTCCGTCTCACTCTCCCCAATAGACCCGGTACCACATTTATATATAGGAGCGCGATTTTGACGTACATAAAAGTAGACCCCATCATAATCGATACGAACAGGGACCGCTTTGATGAGCAGTAAAGTGTTGATGTATGGAAATTCCAAATCCATTCTCAAAGCTAAAAGCTCTTCAAATTGGTTAGGCATGCTTAACTTGATAATACTGATCTATCTCATTAGCTGTAAAAAAGAGAGAGAAAATACCAAATGGGTGGTCGAAGATTTACCCGGGTACACCCCTCTCTACCCGGGTAAATAATTCAAGCAATTTTTCAGGTACGAAGAACAATACCCGGGTACACGCCTCCCTACCCGGGTAGACAAAAATTTTCAAAAAATATCCGGGTACAGAGGGGTGTACCCGGGTAGGCTTGGTGGTCAACGGTCAAACAGGGGCAGATTGGTGTTATGTTTTCTGAGGGGGTTAAATTTTTGAAATAGTTTATAATCAAGGTCAAATCGGTAATTAATTAATAATAAAGGGTTATAAGGGTCAAAAAGCCCGGAGGTTTTGGTTTGGCATGAGTAAAAGCGAAGACTTTGAACGCAGAACAAAACAGTGAAGACTAAGAGAGAGAGAGAGAGAGAGAGAGTGTTAATGGGTTTTGTTTTATATTAATGAAAAAGGGGTTTTTCCTATTCAATTCAACCCTTTTTGCTTTCCTCTTTCAAATGGCGCCCCCTGTAATGGGTTTTCATCTACCAACGTAGAAATATAACTCTCTCACAAAATCCCTCACAAAGTTAGGTTTTTTTTTTGGATTGTTCTGCACCAATTCTTCTTCTTCCTCTTAATACAATTCCTCTTTTTTTTGGGAGGATTGGGATTTGGTTTCTGTGTGCTTTGAATTTGACAAAGGAAGCGACTTTGGGAAGATGAGCTGGCGTAGGGTTTTGAAGTCTGCACAGGCACTCGCTGCCCACACCTTTCTCTTGTGCTTCACTCTCTTCCTCCTTTTCAAGCTCGATCACCGTCTCTCGTGCTCTTGGTGGTTAGTTCTTCTTCCTCTCTTCTCTTAAATTTTCGTTATTGGTTCGAGGGGTTTCGATTTTGCTTCAATTGAATGCGGAATTTGGGAATCATTTGACAAAGTTTTGGTTTTGGTGGTTTTGTTTAAGCGTGAAGCTATCGGAAATTTTCTTAGCTGTATCTGTATTTATTCTTGTTGTTGGTTCTGTTTATTAAAGTCGTGGGGTTTATGAAATTACCCGAATGAGTGTGTTCCAGAAAGAGAAGATGGTTTGGTCCCACATGCAATGCCTTATCTACTTATGTTTTGTAATGGGAAAATAACTAAAGAGCGTGAATTTGTTAATCACTACTGGACTGTGGTTCTTCTTTCTCATTACTGTGCCACTGTGGTTGACCCAAAATTTCCAAGGTTTACCCTGTGATTAAATTTCTCAGTAACGAATATGGGTGCTAATACGAATTGATTAATAACAAAACGTGTTTTTTGTTTCTGGATACATATGCAGATTACGAACCGAGGATTCTGGTGCTAATATGTAAGGGATTTTACCATTAAAAATGTCACAATCATAAGAATTGTGTTACTAATAAGACGCTATTGAACCCGTTTTGGTAAGAATATAATTCCCGTCATAAAGGTGCAACATGGGGATTATTAGCAGTGTTTATTTTATCCCGTTCTACCCCCCTAGTTTTGGTGTAGGCTGTGTGCTTGGAGAGTTTTTAATTCAGCAATGACATGTTTTCTGCTGTATAAATTTGTTCATACAAGCAGAAGAGTCTGCTTGGTTGAGCAGGTGGAAAATGGAGAATGGGGTGAAGATGATTGTTAATTAAAGTTATGGCCTAGAGTGAAAACAAATACACTTTATTATTGTGAACTTGTATTATAGCACCTGATAGACCAAGATATCCCTACCCTCTCTAGTCCAGGTTTAACGGGGGATGGTTTATTTTTTTATGGACCAAGATAATCAAAGAGTGCACAAGCTTTTGCTTCAATTGGAGTTGATATAAAGCCTGCATGCTGAAAAGCTACCAAAAGTGGGCCCTGCCTTTAGTCAAAAGACTGAATGGTTAGAAAGGCTCTGTAGGTGGTGGATGTAAGTGGCTTCATATTGTTGGGAGATGTGCCTCAACATATCAATAAAAAAAATGAACCACTCCCCAATTAAACCCGACTAGCGAGTGCGGGGTGAGGGCGATTCTTGTACGCATCCTTAACATATCAATACTATTTGGAATTTACTATGGTTTTCAATTTAAATAATTGCAACGCCAGTCCTGAAGTTATTAATTGAGCTACATAGTCTACTATTCTCAACACCCTTCATTGTATTGTAGGGGATGATCAAGAAAATATTATGATTCTAGTTTGGTGTAAGTCCAGTAGAACTCGTAGTCTTTAAGCAAATAAATAAAAGGAAAAGTAATTGTCCTTTTAAAGGATAGAACATCGTCTCGTTCTAAATAAAACGACTGTGTTTTATCATGAGAGAGACTTGTCACACAATGGAAGATCATCGTGGGAGGTTATTGATAATATTAAGTAAAATACTACCGTTTCACTTAAAATGACACAATATTCTGTCATTTAAATGGACAAACACTTTCCCTATAAATAAATAATAAAATGTTAAAATGGGCTTGAAAAAAGATGGTGGGGTTGATGGTGTTGTCTAAAAATTCTGTTAATATGAAAATTATGTGATAATAAAGATGAATGGGAAGGTGTAGTGTGTATTGGGTTTTGACAAGATGGTGATTATTAATTACTGACCTCAACTTTAATACACAGGATAATATTTTCGCCTCTTTGGATGTTCCATGCCGTTGTGGCTCGAGGAAGGTTTTCATTACCAGCGCCATCAGCTCCCCGTAATCGACATGTATGCCATTATCATTCTTAACTGAAATTTGAGACAGCTTCTATTTTGAGTTTTAGTTTAGTTGTTGTGGATTTTGGGCCTTTTGACTTCGAAGCCATGAGTCTGTGTATTGTTCTTTGGCCATTATGGATAAAACCTCAAAATAAGGTTATTGGCTCCTTGTTTTCTCTTATATTAATAGTGTAGAAAATTAGAATTCAAACATGTTTCCGTTTTTATTTCCTATTAATTAGGATTGATTATGATTGATTAGGATTAATTGTGATTGATTAGAATTGATTGTGATTAGGATTGTGATAGGATTGATTAGTCATCGCTTAGTCATTCTTAGCGATTCTTTCTTGTATAAATACTCACTCATGTAATTTATTCAATATCAATATACAAAAACTTCTTTTCAATATGGTATCAGAGCGGGTTCGTTCCTACCCTAATTCAAATCTGAAATAACCATCCAAACACTTCCATCACCGTCAAACACCTCCTAAACACCGCCTTGAATCTGTCCAACACAGAAACCTAGAAATAGATTACTATTATCTAGTATAATTTTTGTTTCTGACTTTCTGTCAATGATTATGATGAAATGCAGTACTGATTTTCTATGTTATGACAGTGGGCACCGTGCCATGCCATCGTTGCAACGCCATTGCTTATTGCATTTGAATTGCTCCTTTGTATATATCTTGAGAGCTTATATGGTACATTACAACTCCTTGCCTTCGTCCTTGCATAATTACAGATTTCCAATTATTTTGTGCATGGAGTATTTCTAAAGAAATATTAAGTTGGTATGATTTGTTCATCTAGTTAAATTGATGCTCACAGATTCCTATTATAGAAATGTGAGAATTTTGCATATCCTTTTTGTCTTTTGTTGTGATAGAAGACTTAAATTTCTGTAGTGATATTTCTGCAAGATCTCCAGTTATACTAATGCGTTTGTTCTTACACAGTTCAAGGCATTGCCGCAGTCAATCTGAAGATTGTGTTCCTTCCCTTACTAACATTTGAAATCATTATTCTCGTTGACAATTTCAGGTAATTTCTTTAGGATAGCTCTCATAGTTGGGGTAAATCTACTGTATTATTCCTCTGAGTGACTAATATGCTATCAATACCACTGTGGTTGACTTACAATGCATGATAAAAACTGAACTTGTAAAAAGATAATACAGGGTATTCAAGAGACCTTGCACTCTCGCCACTGTCGTCTACTTATTTGCCTGCTTCAATGTACTCCCCATCTTTTTTCATATAGCCATATAGGTCAACTATCCCCCTTGATTCCCCTTGATTGCCTTGCTGGAAATATGTTAACAAATCACTTAATTTCCCTTATTCCCCCTCATGCAATCTGTTACGTTAACCATTCAATTCTCATTGATTGCTCTCTGCGTTCTTTCCTAATATAAACCTTAGTAATTAAACTATTATTTCTCAGTCATTTGTAACCAACGGATGCTTGTTTTCTGTGCAGAATGTGTAGGGCTCTAATGCCAGGGGATGAAGAAAACATGAGTGATACGGCAATATGGGAAACTCTTCCTGTAAGGCTTTTATATCAATAATTTGTAAAAAAGATAGGCATAGGGTGCAGTATTTTCTTTCAGTAAATGTCCTAAATATCAGTTTGTTTTTTATGGTCTTTGTTGGTTTTTTTTAATGTAATTAACTAATTTAAACATAAAAGAGATTGAAGCAATGTTGGTCTTGTGGTGTTCAAGATTGATAATTTAATGATTTAATTTTATATGGGGAAAAGTGGGCTAGACACCAGAGTAATTCTATCTAATTGTAGATGCCACGTAAAATTGCATCAAGAAATCATGTGCGAAAGCTGTATGGCTGAGGGTTTTAAAATATTGTCAAAAGAGTGAAATTGAAATGAATTTAGTGTCAATTCCATCTTCAATAACGCTTATTGATGCTCTTTTAATATTAGATATTTTAGTATGCTGTGGAGAAACTGCTGTTGCCTTTTTAAAAAACTTCTAATTTTAAGTTCAGCGATATAAATTGTTTGGAAATTGTACTTTTGGCCATTTTAAGTAGTTCAATAGAAGAGCTTTGTATGCTTTAGCTTGCATTTGAGAATATCTTTGTCATGCTTCACAAATCCAGTGCAGTACTCTCTTTAGATAATTGATTGTGACATGCACTAAATAGTTAAAAAATGCTTTTATTAGGAAATATTCTGTGCTATTAATCCAATTAATCTGTTGCTGATATGTGACAACAAATTTAACAGCTAAATATTTATAATATCCGTTGTTTTATGCCTTTAATGGACGTTGCACACTTGTAGCAGCTAGCTCTGACGCTTTCATGAGCGCCTATTGAATTTATCTCTTGGTAAACTGAATATGTTTCCAGTTTAAGAGTGTAGGACAATTTGAAATATCAAGCAGGAATATTGTTTTTCTCTTCTCCTTTGTTTTCTAAATTGCATGAAATGCCTTGAATTTTCTTTTAGAATACTATTTCCTGAGATATTGGAGGAAAATTCTTGGAACTGAAGCTTTGGTGTTGACAGAAATGATTATGTTGTTGGTTGACTTTTTCATATCAGTTTTTGGTCATATAGGTGTTTGAGGACTTTAATAATACTCTAACCATTGTTTGAAACAACTATGTAGTCATTGCTACCAAGATTCTTTCTTGTCAAGGGTCTTTCCCCCATTCTGCTGTCCTTTTTTTTTGTCTCTCTCATTAACAGATATTGCCATGCTTAGCTTTACTTGAATAAAATCAAAACATATCTTATTTAAAATTTAAGCCCTTGATGTCTTTTGATTTGTGTGATCTCATTTTATTTCTATATTGATATTTAATAGAAGACATTTTACCTGATTACAAATTGCCTCTCCAGTCAATTAAAAAATTTGTGATGTTTGTTATGTTATTTCCAGTATGATCTTGCCTTTTTTTTAATTATTAAAGTATTTTATGACTGGAAGTTATAATAGCTTAATTACATTGAAAATGTTTTTCATGTTGTTTTTGTAGCACTTTTGGGTTGCAATCTCTATGGTGTTCTTCATTGCTGCTACAGTTTTCACTCTCCTAAAACTGAGTGGTAACTTTTTTTTCTTCAGAAGTTTGATAGATGAATTTTTTCATTTATTCTTTATAAATTCGATAGGGGGAGCCTAGAGTGTAAAATAACTCCTTTGTGATTGAAAGGTACGGGTTCGAATCCAGGAAACAGCCTCTTTGCAAATATGCAAGGGTAAGGCTACGTACAAGGATTGCCGTCACCCCTACCCCCACTAGTCTGGGTTTAATGGGGAGTGGTTTTATTATTTATAAATTTTGTCATTATAATTTTTTTATGTCACGATAGCAATGTTATGTCTTGTGATCCCTTGTGAAATATTGTCTTATACTGCTGTTGTAAAGTTGACACGGTATATTTTGTTTTATCGTTCTTCAGTAGTTTCCCTGACAAGATAAGACTTTTAGTTATGCACAAAAAAGAAAGAATAAACAATACCAAATTTCAGTTTTCTTGAGTCTCCTTGAAAATGTGGTTTTCTTTGAATTAAGTGCCCATTTAATGAGTTGGAGTTAATTAGGTATGATTGCTCAACAGTGAAGCAGAAGTTTATTTTATTTTCCCCCTATGTTATCATATATCATTTGAGTGGCACTAACAATGTTGTAAAATAGTCAATTCACGTTTTGTCTATCTTTCACAAAGAAAAGGGAAATATATCATAAAACTTTATTCATTTTAAATACAATTTAATTTTTTAATTTACAGAAATATTCGTTACATACCTACTATTTTGGACTGGATGTTCTATATACCTACTATAAAGACAAGCACTGGATGATCATGCAATGTCAGGATAATTTTTTTAATTAAAGAATGCAATGGAGTCCATGTCATGAAATTTTTCCTTTTCGGAATATGTGATAACATATAAGTGACTACTAATACATTTTGGTTACTCTTGTTTTTATAGGATTGACATATTTTTTACGCATAAGTTCGTCTTTTTCTTTGTTTTTCTTGTCTAATACAGGTGATGTAGGTGCTCTGGGCTGGTGGGACTTATTTATTAACTTTGCGTAGGTTTCTCTATCTTAAGCCCTAAAATGTATTTGGTGTTTAGCTTTATGTTTCTTAGAATGTTGACTTGAAATTTTATGAGGTTTTTATTGGCCTATTATTCTGCAGTATCGCCGAGTGCTTTGCTTTTCTTGTATGTACAAAGTGGTCTAATCCGGTCATTCATAGAAATTCAAGAGAAGGCAGTTCAGCTTCTACTACTATTAGATATCTTGAATGGAACAGTGGTTTAATGGTTTCTTCTGAGGAAAATCAACACCAGGAGAGAATGTGTAGCCTGCAAGATGTAGGAGGTCATTTCATGAAAGTACCAGTTATTGTATTCCAGATTCTTCTTTGTATGCATTTAGAGGTATGCAATGTTACTGAATTGTGTGCTTGGCCAGCCTTTGAAATGTTGAATTTGGAGATCTGAGCTGTTTTGCATTTCAGGGAACACCTGCTTGTGCTGTATATATATCTCTTCCCGTTATTTTCTCTCCCCTTTTCCTACTGCAAGGTGCTGGTGTACTGCTATCTGCATCTAAATTGGTGGAGAAACTTGTGCTTATTGTACGAAGTGGAGCTGGTGGAGGAATATATTTTAGACTTTCTTCAACAGCTCATGATTGCTTGGGATTCTTGCGCCATGGTTCTAGGTAATTAATAATCTTTTATTATTATTAGGGAAAACTTTAGATTTAAACTCTGTTGTTTGGTCTGATTTCATTTTGTCATTCTGTTTCCCTGAGCTTTATTCTGTCATCACTTAATTGTGAGCTCTTTTGTCCAATTTATAACTAAATTTAACATGTGAGTGGCACATGTTGCTACATAAAACTGCTTTCCCTCAGCTTTTTTCAAATCGAACAAATCCTTGATTACCACATTCTATTCATGTTGTAAATATAGTTTGAAGAATTGTCTAATTATTGTAGATTCGTTTTCTCCTTTTATTAGATAGATTATGATAGGTTAGATTATAGGGAAGATGTGATAGATTACAAGTCTGATTTTCTTTTTATATGTTTCCCTAGAATCAGCTCTTTATTAAGAAAGTCATTATTTGCTTTAGAGTATATATTATAAACATTTATACACGAATATTCAAGTAATAATATTTAGTATTTCAGATATTAACCACAAGCTATTTTATGTTAAATTTGGATAAAAACAGCTCAGTTATATGGTAAGAATATGAAGCTCAAAGATAGAATGATTCTTTGAGAACCACGAGGTTGCAAAGCGGTATCGTGTCAAACCCTGGGAAAATTCTTGGGTAGATACCAAGTATTGTGCACTGAGCCAATAGAATGTGACAAGTAGTTTGAATTTTTTGAATTTGGGTCCTTTCATGTAGAATTGGTCAAACCAACTGGATGCTCTTATTGGTTCAGTTCACGAACTGAACATGTGTCATTGATGTCTACCCAAGGATGTCTCCAAACCCCAAGGGACACGGAGTAATCTGATTTTATTCTATAGTATTATTTTTACCACTACTATGAATGTAGTTGACAAATCCAATGTATATTGGGGTCAAATTTTTCAAAAAGATGCTCTTATTGGTTCAGTACACAAATTGAACATAATATCTCCAAACCTCAAGGTTGCTATCTGAATTTCTTTCCTTGTTATTTTTACCGCTATCTGATTGGAGATGACAAATCCAATGTCTATTGGGATCAAAGTTTTCAAAAAGAGCAGCTGTGATCTTGAATTACTATACGCATGTAATGTGCTAAAACTCCATCTGACAAATCATGGAATCAGATTATTAGGTTGGTGGTCAATTGATGAAGGGAGTCGGGAAGAACAGGCACAATTGTACCATGAGGGAGCATCTGGGTAAGCATGACTGCAACCTAAGCGTGTACCATCACTGATGTAATTAATATGTTGTGTCTCATACATTCCCTTGCAATGTCTCTTGGAGTAATTTTTTTTTTCTCCTGTGATATCTGACATATGAATAATATTTGAAAAATAGCAAAAAAGAGGAAATACAAAATCTGTTAAGTATGCCCCAAAAGGCTGCATCAGGATTTTATTTTAGGTGACTACAACAAAGATGTGATTCATAGTAACCACCTTGATAGAATGGAATTCACTAGAGGGCATGGAAACTCTTATGATTTAGCGGCTTTGATGGGAGCAGATAGTACTTCCATGGTCAATATTTTAATATATATTTTTTTATTAAAAGAAGAAATTTTACTAGAGAAAGAAAGAAATAGAAGTACAAAAGATTGGAGGATAAGAAATCCCAACGAATATAATACAAAAGGAGAAAAAACAGAGAAAAAAAGGAAACAAGTAAAAGCCAGTCTTTGTAGGAGAGCTGTCCAATCCCTTTGCATATCTGAAATACTGATATCCTTAAAGAAACCACGTGATGATCACCAAAGAGAAACCATGAAAACGATTCTAATCCCATAACAAATTCAGAGGAGAGGAAACACCCTTGAAGATGGAGGTATTCCTTTCCAACCACAAAATACCATAAACAGAACATTGCCACAAGATTTTGTTATCCTTCTTACCAAACCCTTGTAAATTTGTAGAAATTGATCCAATGAACCATGGCAAATCCATTGCTCACAAAAAATGCCAATCAAGTTTATTCCAAAGGAAATGCACAACTGGGCAATGGAGAAATAAATGAGACGTGGTTTCAGATGCAGATCTGCACAGGACACACATGTCACGAGAGAGAGCAATGCGAGGCCATCTAACCCGCAACTAGTCATTAGTACTATTGAGTATAGCTGTCCAAACAAAAGCTTTGACCTTAAAAGGAGCTTTAACATTTGGTTTATACTTGCTTCATATTTTTCGGTATATCTTGGCAACTTTGTTTTCATATTCAAGGAAGGGCTTTTTGCTCTGTCTTATGATACACAGATACATTAAGCTATTTTCAATTTATTGATATATGTTCACCTAGTAGTTATTTCTAATGATCTTTGTACATTTGGCTTTCCACTGCACAGGTATAATACATTCTGTGGTTATCCTCCTGAGATTGTTAAGAAAATGCCTAAAAAGGATCTTGCTGAGGAGGTGATGACGATTCTTATAATATATATAGATATAAATTTATGGTGGAATATATTCCTATCTATTCATATAGATGGATATGGACATGTGTAGTATGGTTGAAAGTTGAAACAATCTGCATAGGTTTTAGTTCATTATGTTCATCGATTTAATAGTATGCACAAAAATTCTTAGTAAGTCAATAACTCTATGATTTCCTTCATTAGCATGCTTAAAATTATCTAATGTCAGGTTTGGAGACTTCAGGCAGCTCTTGGTGAGCAGACGGAAATTACAAAATACAGCCAACAGGAGTATGAAAGACTTAAAAATGTAAAACTTCTAACTTCTGCGTACTTTTTTAGTCATGTGCTTGCGCTGTGTATTTTCCAAGGGTTCTTATATGATGTGTTAAGAAGCCATCCGCAATGGCACGGGTCACCATCGTATGCAATTTAGGATGCTGCTGACATGGTAAATGGTATCATTCGTTTATAATATTAATTGAATCTGAAATATATTGTATATTCAAGTGTGTAAGTCTGTACAAGGAGGCTCTCTATTTATAGAGACTAAAAGACCTAATGGGCCAAGCCCACAATCTAGACTATTCTAATAATAATAAATTAATATTATTTCTAACACTCCCCCTCAAGCTGGTGCGTATATATCAAAAGCTCCCAGCTTGTTACAAATATGATCTATTCGGGGACCTCTAAGAGCTTTAGTGAATACATCCGCAAGTTGATCATTGGAATTGACAAATGCTGTCTCAATCTCCCTTGACTGGATCTTTTCTCTAACAAAATGACAGTCAATTTCTATATGCTTGGTCCTCTCATGAAAGACTGGGTTAGAGGATATATGCAAAGCGGCTTGGTTGTCACAAATGAGCTTCATAGGCCTTTGTTCACAGAGATGGAGTTCCTTCAGCAATTGACTCAGCTAGATGAGCTCACAGGTTGCTTGCCATTGCCCGATATTCTGCCTCCGCACTGGATCTGGCGACCACAGTTTGCTTCTTACTCTTCCAAGAGATCAAATTTCCTCCGAAGAGAACACAATACCCTGAGGTGGATCGTCTATCTGAAGGAGAACCTGCCCAGTCAGCATCTGAATAACTAGAGATCTCTGAACTCCCTTTATTTGTATATAATAAACCTCTTCCTGGCGCCTTTTTAATATATCGGAGAATTCTAATAACTGCATCCCAATGGGAGTCACAGGGAGAATCAAGAAATTGACTTGCAACACTCACTGCGAAGGAGATATCTGGCCTTGTCACAGTAAGATAATTCAATTTTCCAACTAGTCGGCGGTAGCGACTAGGATCTGGCAGTGGCTCCCCCTGTCCTGGTAATAACTTAACATTGGGGTCCATAGGTGTATCAATGGGTTTACAGCCTAACATGCCAGTCTCATCTAGGATATCCAGTGCATACTTCCTCTGACAGATGGAAATGCCCCGCCTAGACTGTGCAACTTCGATCCCCAAGAAATATCGAAGTCTGCCAAGATCTTTGGTCTGAAATTGATTGAATAAATGCTCTTTCAACTGATCAATCCCGGTCTGATCACTGCCTGTAATGATAATGTCATCAACATAGACCAGGAGATAAACGCACTGGCCAGAAGAGCTATGCCGGTAAAAGACAAAATGATCGGCTTTGCTTCTGATTAATCCAAAGGATTCAACAACTGAACTAAAGCGGCTAAACCAGGCCCGAGGAGATTGCTTCAGGCCATATAAAAAGGCCAGATATCTCCTTCGCAGTGAGTGTTGCAAGTCAATTTCTTGATTCTCCCTGTGACTCCCATTGGGATGCAGTTATTAGAATTCTCCGATATATTAAAAAGGCGCCAGGAAGAGGTTTATTATATACAAATAAAGGGAGTTCAGAGATCTCTAGTTATTCAGAACTCAAAGTTAAAAGGGGAGTAGGGTTGGCTTCCCCAATTCCACGAGCAGGAGCCTTAGTGCCATCAGCAAGAGTGACAGGGGGTAGGTTATTAGAATAAGAAAGTGAAGTGAAGAGATCTTTATTACCACAAAGATGATTAGTAGCACCTGAGTCTATTATCCAGGGTCCAAGAGATGATTGATAAAAACAAGCAACATGATTACCAGTGTCTTGAGTAGGATGCTGAGAAGAAACCTTCTTGAGAAGTGCCTCATAGTCGGCACTTGAAAGAGTTACTAATCCAGTTGAAGGTGGCATAACATCAGTTTGAGCAAATTTGACAGACGGTGGCTTCAAATGAGGGTACTTCCTATAGCAGCGTTCTTCAAAATGCCCAAGATTCTGGCAATAATTGCAACGAGGCCTCTGTCTGCGGCCACGTCTGCGACCGCGTCCACTGTTCCAATTGGAATCACTGGCCCGAGAAAAGAATGGAGATGGGGTAGTACCGGAGATGATGCCAGTCGTGTTTTTGGACGCATTATTTGAGCCCTCCATCACAAAATAAAAAGGAGATGACCAGAAAATAGCAAAGAACTACAAGAAAGCAAGAAATCGCGCAAAAACGTTGCACAAAAGTGTCCAAACAGCAGGTTTTTCACTGATATCTTTCAAACGGATGGGACCCACAACGAACGGAGACCAGATCTGGAAAGAGGGTGAGGAGGCGAGCAAGATGGTGGTGGTCCGGCCTGGAACGGTGGCCGGACGGTGGCTCACGCGTCGGAACAGTGGTTCGGCCGCCGGAGACTTCCACCGGCGCGTGGCGGCGCGTGGATGCTCCGATCAACACGCGGCTTGGACAGACAGGGTCGCCTCCCTGAGCCGCTCCTGATCGCGTGGTGGTTGGTTGAAAAAGTCGCCGGAAAAGCAGTCTGACGGCGGTGAACAGTGGCGGACGGTGGTTTTGTGGCGGTTTCCGGCGATGAACGGAGGCTGAGGATCTTTTTCCTGATGATACGAGGTTGAGGACAAGAAATTTGTGACTAAATAAGGGTTAGGTGTGAAAGGATGGTTGCCGGTATGATGCGCGGCAGTAAAAAGAAAGGAAAAGATATATATGCGGAAGCAGAGCCCTCAGATCGAGAGCTCTGATACCAAATTGAATCTGAAATATATTGTATATTCAAGTGTGTAAGTCTGTACAAGGAGGCTCTCTATTTATAGAGACTAAAAGACCTAATGGGCCAAGCCCACAATCTAGACTATTCAAGACTATTCTAATAATAATAAATTAATATTATTTCTAACAATATTCTTTATATTAGAAGTCCTCTTGAGTAAATCTTAGTGATTAGTTGCCTAAACACTATATATTACAGATGAAGCAAAGTATTATTTTATACATTCATGCCCGTGTTTTGGTGTTGTAAATCAAAACCTGTTAGTCTAATGAATATGGTGGAAATATGGCTGGGTTGATGATCATAAATTATAATTCTATTTACTATCATTAGTGTATCATTAAAGTGTGGCAGCTATTACACAGTACTATTAGTTGCACTTTTTAATAGCTGAGCTAACATGTAATTATGAGGAAATTATAATCGTTGATTGAAAAAATAACAGAGTAGATTATAACTTCATTGTTCGCTATTCACATGGTCACGAGAATGTATTTTATCATAATCTCAGCCGTTTATTTGGTTTGTAGGAGCCAAATTCATTTGGTTAAAATGGAAATGTTGTTGTCACTGCTTTGATTTGATTCATTATTAAGTTTCATTTAGCCAACATTTTCGTATATATGTCTTTTGTTTCCAGGAGAAAGTGTTATGCAGAATTTGTTTTGAGGGAGAGATTGGCGTTGTATTGCTCCCATGCAGGCATCGTGTGCTTTGCAGGTAAGATCAAATATGTGATGATATGGTCAATGAGACAATTTCTTGCATTGTATTCATACTTTGGCCTTATGCTTGATTTCCATGAACTGCAGTATTTGCTCGGAGAAGTGTAAGAAGTGTCCAATTTGCCGCGTCTCTATAGCAGAGCGCTTGCCTGTATACGATGTTTAGGTGTTAACTTAGCCAACTTTCTTGTGTAAGACCATACAAGGTGACAAAATGTTTTTTTTTTTGGTATAGTTTTGGCAGTGACATTGTTCATTGTCTAATACACATCAAAGGGTAGGAAGAATAGAGTATATAGTTGATACTTTGGATTTTGAATTTGATTTTGTTTTGCTTTTACTCACTTCTGCAATTTGTATATATATATATATACACACACTAGATTTTTACAGTCTCAAAATTGATTTGGTAAGTGTAACTCCCCCCTCTCTTCGCCTCCTTTCTTTTCTTTCCGCCTTTTTTTCTTTTCTGGGTCAATCACATGTGAAAGCCCAGCTTCGATTCTTTTTTTTTTTTTTTTTCCGTTGAAATAATTTTTTTTTAGGATAAATGGGTATCTTTGACAGATATAAATAGGCAATGTAATAACTATTATGGAAACAATCAATTCGTTGCATGATATAATCTGACTTTTATTTAGAGGCCAAAGAAGTTTGAAGCTAAATCGATACCATATTTAATGGAGTTGTAATGATGTTGAAAGTTTTGATATAGAATAATTCTATCCTTAAGATTTACACTATTTCATTACGTATCTTCCTTTTCACTTGGTTGCATGCACCCCAACTTAAAAAAATGGTTTGAACAATAATTACGTGTCTTTGTTCTGATTGTTTTGCTGTAAATAAAGATTCTCGAAAAGAATTTTTAAACATACAATAATTAGTTATAATATGAAAATTTTGATGTTATGGTGATATACAATTTGAATGTATGACCTTATTCAGATTAAGGTGCTACTAACCAATTCTGATAGCTTTGCTGCAATATGCTTTAAAGGTTAGTTTAATTTTATATCTTTTAAAACTAAATGGAAAAAAAAAATCCAACATATCTTTTTAAAAATTTATCCTATATTAATAAAATCGGATCGGTTGGCTGGGTTAATCCGGAAATTAGTAAATCGGTCATATAACCGGTCTGGGTGAAACAACAGACCGGCCATGCATCAGAATCGGTGTGACCCAGCCAGTTTTCGTGAAAACCAGTAACTCGGCCTGATTTAAAAAAAAAAAAAATTCCAATTTTTTTTTTTCAAAAAGAAAATCATAATGGACTTATTTGAGTATTTTTTGCTTATTGACTTACATAGGTTATGTACCTATAATACTAATATTATCTAAATTATGCACTGTGAAAAAAAAAATTTGATTTGATTTATTGTTAGAGATGTCGTTTACTGAACATGAAGCCTCGTATCATGATCATTATATTTTTATTTGATCCTTTATCGGATAGTAATGTGTGATTTATTATTTTTTATATTAAAATATTTGAAATTTTTATCATTTTTTTAGATACCTAAGTATGTTTATAGTTTTTTAATTTAAATTATAGGATTGCATATAATTACCGGGTCATGTGGTTTACCAATGACCTACTGGTTGAAGCAATGATCCAGTACCTCGATTGGGTTAATGAGAGGCTGATTTTAATAACATTGAATTTATCTCTGTATTTTTTTTTTTTTTTTGATAACATATCTCTGTATTTTTAGTTAAGCCACGAAAAGCCTTTTTATTTGCTTATCTTTTACTTAATATATCTTGTATGATGTATTTTCATATTATAAAAAATAATATTCAATTGAGCAGTTTTTGTTATGTAAATTCAATCCATATATATATATATATATATATATATATATATATATATATATATATATATATATATAAGATCATCTTACACCGGTGTAAGAATAATAAATCTTACACCAAATCCTAATCATTGATTTTCTACATCTGACGGTTAAGATTTATTAGGTCTCACTCATTAATTAATTTTTAATTCCCAATAAATCTCAACCATTGGATGCACGGAAATCAACGGTTAAGATTTGATGTAAGATTTATTATTCTTACACCGGTGTAAGTTGATCCTATCCCTATATATATATATATATATATATATATAAGGGTTTATATTTCTGCAGCTGCTGTACGTGCAACAATCAAATACTTGGCATATATATACTTGAAAGCATTAAATGCGGAGAATCATACCCATACAAATGATGAAAGCATTAAATGTGAGAAATCATAACCATACACCTGTCGTTACTGTACGTAAAGCGGCTGCATAAATAATTTTATCATATATATATATATATATATATATATATATACAGGGATAGGATATTGTGACACCCAAGTTATGTTACACCCATGTGACACCCAGTCAATCTCACCGTTAGATCGCTTATGTTGATCCAACGGTTATATTTATTTTCATCTTTGTATGGTCATGATTTTCCAAATTTAATATTTTATATTTATTTCTACCTTTGTATGGTTATAATTTCTCATATTTAATGCTTTCACTTTAAATTTGGGAAATCATGACCATACAAAGATGGAAATAAATATAACCGCTGGATCAACATAAGCGATCTAACGATGAGATTGACTGGGTGTAACATAACTTGGGTGTCACAATATCCTATCCCATATATATATATATGCTTACAATATCAGCACGACAAAATCATTACGAAATTAACAATTGAATTAATAAAAACATGTTATAAAGTTTCTTAATAATTTAAAAGCATAAGTCTTACATCGATGTTAATTAATTCTTACCTATCAAAACTTATTATTTGGCAATTATATCAGTATGTAAAAATAAAAATTTAAAAATTTAGATTTTAGATAGCCGAATATTAGTAAGTTGACTCACACACATGTATATATGTGTTATATAAATATATCATCATACATTGCTTTTAATATTAAAGGGTTTGTTTTTTCTAAAGTTACTTTAGATAACTTTATCTAATGTTCATCGAAACGGCGTCGTTTTGAGACAGAAATCATGTTATTTTTGTAATTTTAATTTATTTTAGGGTTATAATAGTCTTTATCATTTTAAATTTTCAACCCTAAAACGACGTCGTTTCAATGAACATTAGACAAAGTTGTCTAAAGTAACATCAGAAACTTTTTCCTTAATATTAAATTATCAAACATATGTAACTTAATTTTCATATACTTAACCATCAATTGAAAGAGATATCTTTCACAGGAATTATAACTAATCATAAGTAATTAAACAATTAAGTACAATTAGATTAATTGATAAATAAGTTTGATAATGGTCAATGGAATGTGACAAAAAGTGGTATCCGTATAAACACGTGATTATGGAAAATGAATGCGCTGTTGAAATTTCATCATGTGAAAATTTTATTTCCATATCTTTCATCGTATACATTAAATATATAGAATTGATTAAAATTTATGAATATTTACAAGGAAAGATAAAAATAAAAAATTTCACATCTCACCTAAAAATTTCAAAATTAGAATCCATTTCCGTGAGTATGATTATTATAAAGTAAGATACTTCTTGCATGGAGACTTCTTTTGAAGCACCGACATTTCAAAAACCCTGACGTGTCGTGTCCGACACTCTCGGACACTCCGACACTCCCCGACACTCCAACAAGCGTTATAGAAATTCAAAAAAAAGTTCAAAGGTTAAGTTGCGTTGAGTGTTTAGTTCTAACTATTAAATTCGTTAGATTACAATTACCATTTTATTGAGTTTAATATAAATATTTGGGACATCATATATTTCTTTGCAAAATTTATGAATATTATAAGTTTAGATACATTTTTTTGTTAAATTATTGAATATTAAATATAATATATACTACATAAATTAAAAAATATTATTTAATATCAAAACGTGTCATAACGTGTCAAAATCTAACATTTTTTAGAATTAACGTGTCGGAGTGTCATGTCGTATCGTGTCCCGTGTCAGTATCGGTGCTATAGAGCTTCTTTCTGCACTTGATCTTAGCCAAAAGGCCGAGAAAGGCACGGAGACTTCTTTCTATGTATTAAAATATCGTTTTGATTTTTTTAATTGCACGAAATAAATTATTTCATGCTGTTCAAAAAAAAAAAGGTGAAATTCATTAATAAAATAAATGATCAAGGAAAAAAATAAATTATATCTATATTTTTAAGATTCATTTTTTCTACGGTCAATGTAAATAATTTATTTACATTAAATTCAAAACAATGCGAAAATCAAAATATTTTTGTAATTATAATTTATTTTAGAGTTATAATAATCTTTTTTATTATAATTTTTTAATCCAAAACAATATTGTTTTGAAAATAAATATAAATAACTTATCTAGTAGAAACGTTAAAGTTAGCTTACCAAAAAAAAAAAAAACGTTAAAGTCATATTTTTATACATTATTTATTGGGAATAACATCTGTTATTTTAAAGGATATAAGCTTATATCATTTTAGATCTTAACCGTTGATTTCTGTCAATCAACGATTATAATTTATTGGATCAAAATTATTAATTAATTAATAATAAATTGACCCATTAAGTTTGACCCAATAGATTATAACCGTTGATGGACGAAAATCAACGATTAAGATCTAAAATGATATAAGCTTATATCCTTTAAAAGATATATATTTTTCCCTTATTTCTTTTATCAAAAATGAATTTATAATTTGTTACAGATATTAAAAGAAAAAAAAAACAAATTGTTTCAGATATCTCCTTTCTGTAATTCAACTCATTTTTCTCTCTTATATAGTTCATAGATTTGGGCACCCATTGCAGTGTTCACAGAAAATGACTGTATTTGGAGTCACAGTTACTGGGTTCAAGGCCTAAAGCTTCCGACTTTGTTTGATTTTCTGGGAGATTCTGTTGTTTTCGATCATTTTGGTTTTGTGTTATTACCGATCCAGATCCTAACTTCCCATATTCAGGTACCCATTTGATGGATCTTATTGAAATTGAAATTGAAATTGTGACCCCCATCCACGAATTTTTTTCGCAATTTGGTTGCTGAGAAAATGCATGAATGGGACTATGTGAAATTCTGGATCTTGCATAAGCTTTTGTTCTGAAAACTTGTTCAGTTGTTTGGTTCTTAGCCAAAGTAAGACAAGTAGTTGGGCAGGATCGTTTGAACTGGTTTTCCTGCTCTTACAGTATTCAGGAAAAAAAGCTTGCAGTCTCTTAGTTGTTATCTTTCTTTCTTTATTTTTTTCTGGGTTTCTGCTATTCATTGAAGTACACCTCATACTAGTTTATTGTTGATTCCTTCTCCCAAAAATGTTTAGTCATATCCCCCAAATTAATGCTTTGTTTTGTATTTCTTTGTCAGGCTTCTGAGTTATCTGTGAAGTGGGGGAAAAGATAAATAAATAGATATTTCATGTGTGGAAGTTGAATTAAACTTCTTTGGCCAATGAAGATGCTTGTTGGTTTTCTAGCAGGAAATGTTTGCCGAAGGTGTTGTTGATGGCATTTTGATTAATGAAAGTTGGTATCATTTGTGTTTTTCTCGGATATGAGTCGGTCTCCTTCCTTTAAAGTTAAAACAGAACTGAGTCCCAGTCTTGATCCAGAGTCTTTACAGAAATGGATTGTTGCCTTTTGTGCTATAAGGTTTGATCTTGAACAAGGCCAGCTTGTAGAAGTGTGTTATCCACCGGGCTGTCTTACACATGATGAGGAGCTTGAAATTGCTTATAGCTCCTTTCCGGATTCCGTTTCCCAGCAACAAAACCGCTCAAGCATTCATGATTGTATCTTCTTTTTCCGATTTCGTAGGCGCCTTAAATCTCAAACCAGCAATGCTACTCATTCTGAGATAACTGAAGTTGACAAGTCCATAGATAAAAATAATGTTGGTAAAGCATTATCCAGTACAAGTAGTGCTAATGTTTCTAAGTACATGTATGGCTTTGTCTTTAATAGACAGAGACATGATGAGAGGCTAAAGCGAGGAGGGGAGCAGAAGTCTGTGGTCATTTTGTCCCACAGACCTTATTCTAGTGTCTTCAGACCTTTGTTACAAATTATTGGTCCCTTATATTTTGACATGGGTAAGAAAGCATTGGAGCATATTGCTGCTTACGTTTCAACATGGCCTGCTCCCATTCCTGGTAAGCTAATGGATCTTCCGATTGGGAATGCAACTCTTAAAGTGAACTTGCCACCTGCTCACAGCTTGCCTGTGGAAAGTGGAGTATCTTTTGATGAGTCTGCTTCTCCCGTGGCACCATTTCTTCCTAATAATCAGTCTATCCCGCAGGGCCTTTTCCATGATTCAGATCTTTTTGGTACCTTCCGTGGCCTTCTATTGCAGCTTTGGTTGTTATGGGAGTTGTTACTCATTGGTGAACCTATTCTCATCATTGCACCCACACCTCCCCAGTGTTGTGAGGCTGTTGCCAGTCTTGTGAGTTTGGTTTCACCGTTGCTTTGCAGTGTTGACTTCCGGCCTTATTTTACCATCCATGACCCAGAGTTTGCACACTTGAACTCAATACAAGAAGGGGAAGCTTTCCCCCCAGTGGTTTTAGGAGTGACAAACCTTTTCTTCCTTAAAGCTCTCCGTAATATCCCCCATATTGTCTCAGTTGGAAGCCCTCCTCCTAATTCAATCCGGGTTTCCCTTTCAACGAGGTCCACTGGCAGAGTTTCAGGTAGACCTGAAGGTCTCGGGCTTCAACAACTTAACCTAAATAGGTTTTCTCCTTCAAGTTTATTGAGTGCAGTTAAGCTACGGAGAGATGGTCCTCTTTGTCTCATGACAGAACATAAGGAAGCCATTTGGAGTACCTATTCTGCCACAACTAAGCCAGACACATCTATCTTAAATAGGCTTATAGATGCTGGAGTGTCACCAAGAGTTGAGGAGTCAATGTCAGTTGTTAACAATGAGATATTACGGCGGCATTTCTTGGAGCTCACTACTAATTTTTTGGCCCCTTTTGGACCATATTTTAGGACTACTGCTCCTTCAGAAGGATGTTCTCCTTATGTAGATCCTCCTCCTCTACCTCCATTTAGTGCTGATGAATTTCTTGCAAGTTTATCAGCCAGAGGACCAGGGAAGTTCCTATTGAAGCGAATGAAATCTAACTGGCTTGACTTCTACAGGTAATGAATTTTCTTTTCCCTATTTGTCATGTACTACAATTTGCTACCTACCTCTCTGTGCGACAGTGTTTAACAGTGTGACCTTGCACTCAATTTGTAGTTCTTCGGTCTTATTAGATTTATATTCTTCACGTTGAGTTGCTTCAATGTTCTTATCAGGCGATTCCTGAACGGACCCAACTTTATGCCTTGGTTTCAGAGGAGGCGTGCTGTAGCTGAACAAGAACAAGAAAGGTTGTGGAGGCATGCAAGAATGAAAACTGACATACAACAGCTAATATCTAAAATGTCTGAGTTGGAAGTTGTGGATTCCTTCAACGTTATAGAGAGATGTCTACTTAGAGAAGTGCAGGTAACCTACCCTCCAAGGGTCCTCCAGTTATGCAGTTAATTGCTCGTGCCTTTCTTTTGGTATTTGCCCCACATGATGCTGTGTCTGCATTTATTTGATTACCTATTATTTTCAATCATTTGCTTTTGTGAAGGACTTAATATCTAACGTAATATGTCACGAGTTTTGGCAGTGTTTTATTAGGATTTGAACCTTCTTTTTTTAAAAAAAAAAAAAATAAAATAAATTATATTGTTTTGGATCCAACAAGAAAGATGATTAAATTAAGTATAGCAAGACTGATGCTCAACACAAAAGTACATGATAACTAAATATATCTCATTTTATCCTGGACATTGTGGGAAACAATCATCTAGGAGAATGCTTACTTGTGTTGTTCATCCCCGTTTGTCAAAAAGAAGAGATCTTATGTCATATAACATGAGCCTTAGGGTAATAGGGTGCATTGGGATGAAAGCTTTTGCCATGTTACCTATAAGATAACGTATCATTTGTATTTTCATGGGTCATGCTACCATTACTATGGTTCCCAGCGTAGTTCCAAAAATTTCTTTGGCCCTTATGTGGTATACTATGCTCATGGCTGCACATTATTATGCATAGCAAACTGTACTGCAGCATACTATATATGCCAGAATATGTAGGATTGTTTTAGCTGTAAATGATACATACACAATGCTTTTATATCTCTGTTAAATTAATGCAATTATCAGCTACAGCAATCTGGAAATGGCGGTGTTGATTCTGAGGCAACTTGTCGGAAACTAACAGGAGATCTTGAGGCAGTTTTCAATGCACTTTCGAAGGACATGCAACAAATCATGCTTTCAAATCCACAAAGGGCATCCCTTTTGAAAGGTAACCCAGAATTGACAAAACTTCCAGGGCATCCACTCTTACAAACTGGGGATGTGTCTTCTACATCACCCAGGTAATGTGAAAAGCATGAAACAGGCGGTCTTGGGTATATATGGTCTTCTTCTGATGCTAAAGGACAGACTTCTGGTTAATTCACTGCCTCCTTCTCTCTGATTGAGAGAAGTTCTCTGACTTTTGACAAGTCTTGCGGTAAGACTCATTTTGGCAGACATGCAATTCATTTCAATAGATCATATTTGCTGATTTTCATATTCTTCTTCAGATTAACAGCTGTGCAATAACAACAATTTAATTTATCAATCCACATCAAGAATCAGACGTGGGATAACCTGCCTCTTCACATTCATCCGAGGGAATTTGATTTTATTTTAAATTTGTGACTTTTTTTAATTGCCTTGCTGGAAATTGTGGCTTCTTTTTGTTTCTATTATGAAGGACCAAGGTGTATATTATTCACTTTGTGTTAGGTTTTGGTAGTGGTATCCATTCCAAGTTTTCTACAATTCCGAAATTATCAATTTTTGCAATGGACTTTTCCCTAGGTAACATTCATTTACTTTGAAGTGGACGTTCACACTTTATTTTTACAGTAAATATTCTCTCTGGTCCTTAACAAAAAACACGATCCTCACTTTAGTCCATTATAAAAAAAAATTAGTCTCGACTAAGAAATTCAAAGTGAATCCATTTAGTTGAAATCGTGATCCCTCATAAATTCAAAAAAGACTCATATTAGTTCTTCAAAAGGACTAAAGTGGTTCCATTTTAAATCTCATAGGGACCACGACCAACTGATTAATTTTTGTTTGAGAGGGACTAAAGTAAGAACCATATTTTTTTGTTAGGGACCCAAAAAGATATTCAGGCTTATTTTTATTTTAGGGTTTAGGGTTGTCCAATATTTGATGATTGAGATGTCTTTAAATCACTTTCAAGTCTATGAAAGATGACAAAAGATGATTTTTATTATTGTTATGTTATGTGTCAACGACGGCGTCTACTTGTCACTTCAGTGCTCGATTTGCTACATCTTGGTGTTATTATATGGCGTGATTACAGATTATGACTCAGATTCATTTGTTCATGATAAAGAAAGCTGAAGCTCTGTGGTACATGTTAATTTTAGTAAGTGGATAGTTTGTTCAATAATCTAGGTAGGTTGCACCGCAATTAGTTATGCTTTATCAATTTAGGGTCACAAATCAGCTGCAATGAAATTCAAAACGTTTGGACTAGGGCAAGTCAATCCTGACAATTAACATTTCCATAGCTATGCACTCAGAGTTAGTTTATTGCATATGAATTAACCATTGATTCAAGAAGTGCAGAGTTAACCAGAATTGTGAATCAATAAATATGATCTAATTGGTTAAAGAAGCAATAATTTAAAATATAACAAATTACGATCAAATTCAAGTTCAAATGAAGTAATATATATGATTGTGATTTGTTTAGTAAAAAAAGAAAAACAATGCATTTGACATGATTTAAGATCTAAGATTTGTGACGTGTTTTGAATGATTTAATTATAATTATTTATTTATTTTTAGAAGTTAATTACGTTACATTTATTTTAGGAATTTTTTTTTTTATTTTTAGGATTTGAGATTTTGAATTTTAAATTTTGGATCAATTTATAAGTAGTCTATAAAAAGGTTCTTATAACCCTGATTGTAGGAGTTAAATTTTGTTATTTTGAGAATTGAAGGATTATTCTTTTATTATATCCTAACTTTTTGTTTAACTATCTTTTTAATGCGTTTTCGAGTCATATAGTATTGATGACAACTATGAGTTTCACTTTCAAACAAGAGTGTGGATATTCTAACTACCAAAATCTCTCACTACTAACTTACTACCCATCACATCACCATTGGATCAAAGAGAGAGAATGTTAAAAAGTTTTTGAAGAGAGAGAAAATATTAATCTAATGGTGATTAGATAGGTAGTAAGTTGATAGTGAAAAATTTTAGTAGTTAGAATATACCTCCTCTTCAAACAATACGGGTGTTAGTTTTATCAAAGAAGTGGATAACTTGAAGTTTTATGGTGTACCAAATTCGAGTTTATATCATCAGTGAATGCGAAGTAGTTATACGGTAAGCATCACCATGTCTTAATCACTAAGAAATGCTTAGTTATTGCTTCATGATAAATTTCTACGGCTTTTAGAAGTATCCGAAACATGTCACTTCTGACTGATATATGTTTAAGAGAAACTGTTGATATAAATCTTTGATTTTCAATATGTGCGTAAATTCGTCAACTTTATATATAAAAAATTGTCCAAAAAATATCGATACAATTCAAAAACAGCTTCAGAAATAAATTCAATGATATAACTTAATTATTGGTGCCATAGTACTGTTTATTTTGTACATAATTAATTGACGTAGGTAAAAAGGGAATAGCAACATAGAAGTTTCAGTTGTTATGGTGCAACTTGAGGTTGTATTATATATATATATATATATATATATATATATATATATATATATATAGCTGCAACTTGACATTTTCTTTGAAGGGAACATTGTATTTACTTTATAAGATTAAGATGTAGATTGTATCCTTCTAGACTCTTTCATAATGCGAATGAATATTTTCCACTTTGTGAAAAGGGAAACTTACATGTGGTTCATATCCTCGCATAGCAGACATGGATAATTCGCCACGTCTCTTCTTTTCTTTTTCATTTTTTAATTAAGACAAATGTTATAATACTATTGGCAGTAGGGGCATGTGCTCTGTACTTTCTGAAGTTTGTTTATGGCAGCATGATATCATATTTGAATTTCATTTCTGTATAGAGTATAGATAATGTTCATTGGATTATAAACAACTTGATGGGAATGCATAAGGTTAAATAGAAATTTGAGATTTGAAAGAAAATATTTATTCTTAATCTTTATTATTAAATTACTATAATTGGAATCTTCAATATTTTTTATATGATATCAATTAACCCTAAAATGTAATAAAATAAAAGGTATAAAATTGTAAAAATACTACTGGAATTAAAAAAATAATAATCTAAAAACCTAAGAATGACAGTACCGGTTTTAAGTCAAATCTAAATGTACTAAAATCATAGCTTAAAAGTTAACTGTTGCTTTATTAAATTCAGGGTGTCAGATAAACTAAACACAATCACAATTAATTTAATTGAAGAGGCTATTTAAGTAGGAAGGAGTGACAAGAAAACTTTAGCCGTGTAGGAAAATTACATGTTGTCTCTTATATTAAATCATTAAATGAGATGGTAAAAAAAGAACCCATAACTTAATGAACATGTAAGTCTTTATCACGAATGGTCTATTTATTAGTATGGTGGAGATTCCATTTGATTATGGTTGTATGTGCAAAGAAAAATTCTATTGGGCCTACTCATTCAGAAATGATGTTTGTATATAAAAAAATTCACACCACTTTAACTCTATTTTCTTTTTAAATAAGAAAAATATACATTTTTAGTACAGTTTTGTTTCTACCCTTTTTTTTTCCTGAACAAAATATAACGTAATGTTTTTGAAGTGTAAATATAATTTCTCATACTCATTTACACGCTCTATGATTACCAACATGTCTCCAAAAGTCAAGAAAGAAAATACCAACAATTTGTGCAGTGTAACCGTGAGAGAGAGAGAGAGAAAATTCTTTTATAGAAATTTGCAAACAGGAAAAAAAAGAAGAAGAAAAAAAGATATGAATGAACATGACAAATAACACATCCCTTCAATTACAGAGTGTGGTCCTCTCGAAATTGATTGTTTGATACCACTTAACATCTTATCCTACACACATTGTGATTCTCCTCCTTATCATGCGCACCCCTTCTGCTACTTCTGTCCAATGGAGACAAAATCTACACAAGAAAAAATAACTTAAAACACATTCATCTACAAAATTCACAATTTTCATCCTCTAAAGTTGAACTTGTAACCATAACTCCAAATCCAACCAAGAGCCACCATGTCATCAAGTGGAACCATATGGAGTTATGAAGAAGAAAAAGCATTTGAGAATGCCATTGCTATGCATTGGATTGAGGAAGACTCAAAAGAGCAATGGGAGAAGATTGCTTCAGCTGTTCCAAACAAAAGCATGGAAGAAGTGAAGCAACATTACCAGGTACTAGTAGATGATGTAAGTGCAATAGAGAAAGGTCATATATCATTTCCAAACTATACTTCAGAGGAAACTACTTCTTCAAATAAGGATTTCCATGGCTCTTCCAAGGCTACAACTTCAGATAAGAGATCAAATTGTAATTATGGAAGTGGGTTTTCTGGATTAGGACATGAATCCACCACACATAGTGGTAAAGGAAGCTTGTCAAGGTCATCAGAACAAGAAAGGAGAAAAGGAATTCCATGGACAGAGGAGGAGCACAGGTACTTTCCATTTACATTTATAATACACTCCATATATTTTCTCCTCTTATTTTATATGCTTCCATATATGTATATATAACACTAAATTTCATGGGATTCCAAGTAACATGGGTAGTTAACAATTTTATTTTTTATTTTTTATTTTTTCAGGTTATTTTTACTTGGTCTAGATAAGTTTGGGAAAGGAGATTGGAGAAGCATTTCAAGGAACTTTGTGATATCTAGGACTCCAACTCAAGTGGCAAGCCATGCACAAAAGTACTTCATAAGGTTGAATTCCATGAATAGAGACAGAAGGAGGTCTAGTATCCATGATATTACTAGTGTAAACAATGGAGATGTGGCTAGTAATCAGGCACCAATTACAGGCCAGCATAGTAGTAGCACAATCCCTTCAAGTACAATGGCTGTGGGACACTCACTTAAGAATAGAGGGATTCAGCCCCATATAGGTGCTGGTTTAGGTATGTATGGAACACCAGTTGGACATCCTGTGGCTGCTCCTCATGGGCATATGGCATCTGCAGTTGGGACTCCTGTCATGCTTCCTCCTGGACCCCATCCCCATCCCCATGCCCATGCTCATGCCCATCCTCATCCACCTTATGTTGTTCCTCTTGCTTACCCAATGGCACCTCCAACCATGCACCAATAACAACTCTTTCTAGTTAGTTTTAGAGGGAAACTTATGTGTGACACAAGGAAAAAGAAACCCCCCCCTTTTTATGTGCAAAGTCTTATGTTAAATTCTACTCTAGTTTATGCAAAGAATTTGTTGAATCCTATGGTATTCATGAGTTAATGTGGTGGTACAGACTATATTTTAGTTGATTTTGCCACTTTTCCTGTTAGGTGGTGGATGTAATGCTAAGAATTGCCTCATGGTGTATATGGTGAAAGATATAAATTTAAATGCCAAGGAATTGAAGCGAATGAATTTCAAGTTAGTCATGTCTCTTTTACCTCAAGAACTTTCACCCTTGTTCAGGATGCTAGAGAAACTAATAAACAGCTTTTTTGTAGCCTTAAAATACATATAGTACTAGGGCACTCCTAATCATTCAAATTTGGAAATTTTCCCCCTTTCTCTCAATTAATTTGATTTTTTTGCAGGATAAAAAAAGGTTTGTTCTGCCCTTCACACTATTGTGCTTAAATTAATTACACTAACTGTGAGGTGTATTCAAGTCCTATGCATGTTACTTTAACTTATCTACATAATTCTTTTACGAATTTTTTTGACAATTCAAATTATGAGACACATAATAATAATTTGCAAAATCATTCTAATTTCTGACGACAACAACGGAACGTAGTGTTTTGAAAATGAAAATAAATTTGATCCTTCTACCTATGATCACTTTCAACCATCTTATTTTACTTCTCAAATTGTAGATTGATTTTGTCAAGAGGAGAGGAGAGCATCATTACTAGGAAACTGCTTTCTAAGTGTTGAGATATATAAAAAATCATTAATATAATCTCACTCAACAGCTTAAGTTTTTGGGTTGAATTGGTTCTTTACATGGTATCTTAGCCTCGTTATACCGGATTTGATCCCAGTGCGCTCTCGTGTGAGGAGGTATGTTGAGATATATAAAAAACCAAGCTTCACCCAACAGCTTAAACTTTTGGGTTGAATTGATTCTTTATACTAAGCATTCAAAAAATTGGAGGAAATGATTACTGAAGTGCGAGAGATGAGGGAAGCTAATGCTTGGTTCACACAAGGGTTAACAAATCCAATAAGCCAGTTAACAACTCAGATGGTAAATATTATATAATTTGAACATTTTGGTAAGAACTATTGATGTGTATAATAGACACACAGTCATCAGTTCAAGCACTTGCAAAGTTTATTTCTCTATATATATATGGGGGGAAAAGGGAGAAAATAAATTACTAAAAAAATCATGATAATTCTTGATGAAGTGTAGGCTTGAAACTAAAGAATAGAGTTGTAGACTTGAAACTAAAGAATTGAGTAGCGACTTTTTCTATTTGATTTGTCAGATATGTTCATCTAATGAGCGAGTAAGTTCATGGGACTTATTTTTGAAAGTCAGCTTATTTTTGAATGGTTGGCTCTAAAAGCTTTGATAAGTTAATGACATGTTAAGTCTCTTGCAGCTTTCTTTAGAACTTTATTTGCACTTGTTATCATTTCAAAGGTGTCGTGTCTTGTTCGTACTTAGATTTTTCTTGCTCTGAGAACAAGTAAATGTACAAGCTTGGGGTATTTACTCTCTGTAAAATCCACACCCATCTTATATTTGACTTAACATGAATTTGAATGTTTTAGTAAAAGATCATGCCATGAATTTGAATGCTTTCAATAAAAGATCATGCTACTTAATTTTAGCGAATTTTGTATGCATATTGAATTAAACGCATTTTTTTTTAGTTTTATAAGAATTTAAGGTTTTTGTGAAAATGAGTCAAGTTACGAAAATTTCTGTAAAGAAATCTCCAAATGTTGCTGTCATCTTTTGATCGTTTTGCTACACTCGACATCTTCATGAAAATTGTAATAAAATAAAATAAAAAATTATAGCTTTCCATATACATCAAAATCAACTCAATCCAAGACATGTAGCAAAAGTTACAATTTAAGATCTCTTTATTAGAACTCTAGTAACTATGCCTCAAATATCCACAAAAACCCATGAGTTCATGCAAAGCTCAATAAAGACACATTCAATTCTCTTACCAAAAAAAAAGACACATTCAATTTAGTGGGCATCAAGTATTCACTTAAAATAGATAATAAATGATATGTCACTCTATTAAAAACATCCGAATTCATATTATATCAAGCATAAAATGTGTCAATTTCACACACGTATAATAGAGGAGAGAGGGAGGAATTGGTAAGTCTATGGCTCTGTCTGTGTATTCCTTCCCTCACTTCAATCTCCACCCTCTCACTCATTGCACACGTAGACAAGAAAACCTGCTAGCTCCAAATTATTTCAGACAAGATCCATACATATAGTTCAATAAAGTTCAATTCATCTAATGGATGCCAAACAAGAGACATGTCAATCTGTTTGCTTCCATTGTAAGCTGCTTCATAACAATAGAGATGTAACAGGTTATGTTGTATTCGTTCCCACTGGCCCTGGGTCCGCTGAGAATTACCTCTTAAGAATACTCCACAACTACTAAAGCCATTATGTCCTGCAAATTACACCAAGTGGTGATTGCACGATAACGTGAAAACTAGGTTAAAATTTTCATATTCAGCTTGGATTGGAATGTCCATTTAACCCTCAGATTCAAGCATCTTGCATCAGGGCCTTCTTACACAGGAATGTTCGATGCTTCATCTCATTGCCTATGCATGGAAAACTGGTAAATAAAGCTTACTGTTGCCAAAAAGAGGTTGGCTCCCCTGCAGATTACAGACGTGAATTATCTTGTTTATTTGTAAATCCAATGTAAATACTCAATTAATCTGAGACCTAGCAGACCCCGGATTAGCGCAAGTATCTCCTAATTGTAAATTTCTTCTACCCCAAAACAGGAGCCTACTATTGACATGCAGACATACCTACTAAAAGAACGTAAAGTTATGTATGCATGAAATTGAAAGGAGATGCTTGTAAACGTAATGAGCTCTACTATCAACCAGTGGACGAAGATTTCTTTACTGAGATGCATGTAATGAGTTATACAAATTAATAATAATAATAATAAAAAACAACAAAAGCTATTCTTAGCATTGCCCAAATTGAAATATATCTTGTGTTCGACTTCTACCAATGCGGCAAAAACAGAATTCATAATTCAAAGTTGAAAATATAAGCATACCAAAATTTTGGATAAGCTACGAACTTGTTTTACAAATTTTTGGATTCAAAACAAAGGGGAGATGATAAAAATAAAGGATAACACGACAAACTACATCTATTTAAAGTTTATACAAATTCGTTTTTAAATGCGAGTAGAAAGCTATTTAATACTCACTTTCCCACGTTTGGTAACTTCTAAAAGACCTTAACAAGGAAATGGGAAGTCATTTTTTATCCGGTACTCCTTTTTCTCACCCTGCCCCTTTCCCCCAATTTCTTTCTCACCCTTCCGCACAAGTCTGTCTTTTAAAAAGACCAAACAAAAATCATATTATCCTGAATCAAGATGGAATATACAACATGCTGACAATTACTAGGTATAACTGTACTGCAAATTTCATCAGCACAACAAAATCACTTTGATTTTACACGAAGATGGCCGTTCAGGAAATGGAATAAGAAACTTTTTCGTCCCCACCTCCACCACATTGGTGCCTGAACTCGGCGTTTCTTCTTAATCTGTTTTCCTGCAAAAGTAATGATAGTAGTAGTAGTAGAAATCAGGTATTCAGAAGTGAAGCTTCCCCAGAAATACTAGATTATAATCTTGTGCCCAGTATATTAGTAATGCAGGGAATGAGATAGCAAAAAATTTTCCTCCTTCAAAATAAAACAATTTCACAAATAAATAAGGCTGTGAAATTCAATAAATACAAATCAAATCCTCACTTTTTTTCCCAAGACAGTACGGTCTCCATTGTGACTGCAAATTTATAAAGATGGGTCCCAAGGAAGGCCAATAATTCATCTGAACTTTGAGGACTTCCAGAACAGTTTGCAGGCCAGCGTTGGAAGGGAAACCATTTTCCAGTTCACATCCAGGACTCTCACCCAGCAATACCTGTTTCGTAGAAGCCAAGTCAGAAACCAAAAATTATCAAGAAAAAAATAAGTTGATATATCATTCTCACCTGTCACAATCATGCAATAGATTGCCTATATATATATATATATAATATGAAAAATCTAAATGACCATTAAAATACACCCTTTATCCTAAAGGAGGAAAAAATAAAAACAGGAGAAAGAGGAAGCACGCCTGAAGCAGGGATATCACCACAGATAATGAATGGCAAAAGAATTCACCTTGATTACTGCAGTAGCAGATGATGATATAGAACGAAGATTATAGCTGCAATGAAATGTATATAAATCAATTTGAAGCAAAACATAGCCTAGCAGAATAAACAAGTACTAAAGGCATGAGCCACAAACCCCCCCTCAAGAATAACAAGCAATTTTCCACCAGAGAGGGCATTCAACATGTGTGTCATCTTTGCATAGCCAGAGGGAGTAACCTGCATCATTGATAAGAGTTTAGAATGCTGATTTATTATAGCTAAATTTGGTTATTATCATTTATTAAATGCTTTAAATTCTCAATAAAAACTAAAGCAGAAGATTGTATTGAAAAGAAAACCAGACAGTAAGGCAAATTGGGACATTTTTATGGTAAATTGATGTAATTTATTGCATAGTCTTGCTGGGGAATTTAGTCCAATTAAGCAATTCAAAGAATTGAAAAAACAAACAGAAGATAAAGATTGAGTTAATAAAATTCTTACATCGCAACATCCTAGGGGATCACCTCTTGCAGCATCAAATCCGGCTGATATTATGGTGAAATCTGGAGCAAATTCAGAAGCTGAAAAAACAAGTCATTCACTATTAATGTTTAAGCAGAGAATATTGTATACTTTGAAAGATACCACCCAGGGGGATGGGGAGAATAGACTATCATATGCAAAAACAACGAAGTCACTTTCTAAAAATACATATGTGCTATAATCCAATACTCCTAGGCATCCTATACTAAATTTATTTTCACTCGTAGCTAATTCTGAAGGTCTTGCTAGTTGCCAAGCAATTAATCTTCCAGGGCAGCATATCAAGCAAATTAACTCAATCACCAAAAACGTTAATTGATCACATATGATCACCTTTTGACAAATAGTTCAAATGTCGATATATTGCTCAGCAAATAGGTTCTGGTGCATTAATTATTAAATTACTTTCCCTGGGTCATAAAAAGAGGTCCTGCGCAGAAAGGTTTCAGCTCTACAACAATGTTACTTCTCTACGCAAGTCTCGACTGAATCTTCTGTCATGCAAAATCCTAATTATTTTTTGTGGGGCAGGGGGAGAAAATAGAAATCAGAAAAACAAAATGTCTTAACTTAAACTCTTAAAGTTTATTTAATTCATCATTTTTACATTTTTTCCTAAAAGACACAGTCCTGAAAATATTGATCAATCCATCTTCGAGGAATCAAATTAAATAAATCGCACAAGACCAAAATATAAACTAACCTATAGGAAGAACAACGTTCTGAAATGCAAAAATGTAATCATTATCACCAACTCCTCCTCGACCCCATGGAATATTCACACAATATCCTTCTGCACCCATACTACCAACCTGAAAATATAAAAATGGATTTATGAACACTTCTCAGAATTCAAAACACTAGCCAGCATACCATTATCAAGTCATAAGTTCAACAGTAAGCATCTCAAAGAATGGTATATTCACATCAGCAGATCACCTTCCAATTCTTTACGAGGGAACATCATGCTGAACTCTATATAACCAATTCCCATCCACAAAACCTATAAAATCATATATACAGGACAAAACTAAAGGCCACCTAAAGTCCAATTCCATTTGTCGTCAAGATTACCCAAGTTAAATTACTAATGCAATCCCTTTCAGTTTTTTTTTTTTTTAAAAAAAAATTCTCCACCCTAATTGTCTGCAGTCAACTACCTCATCAGCAGCTCCAGTACCAGGATAAAACTTCCCTCCTTCATGTCTATGCAATGAAATATACAAGACCTACAGAACAGATAAAAGTCATTAGCACAAGTAAATAAGTTAGCGGCATAGCTCCTAAAGCCGCATTAAAACAAAAATTGAACAGAATAAATTAATGTGAAAAAAATATAAATACAGAGCAGGATTAGCATATTGCTAAAATTTCACGGAAACGGTAAGGAGAGCTAAAAAAAAAAAATACCAAACACAGCTCACCGATTTGTTTTTCTCAAATATTTCCTGTGTCCCATTTCCATGATGAACATCCTGCAATAATCACAAAGCACAATCAACTCATACTTTAATAACAGTGAATGCCCCACTCAAAATTGCTTTTCAGGAAAATCACTTGATTTAACTAAGACATATAATGAGTGAAGAAGACATTACCCAATCTAAAATTAGCACCTTCCTAGCCCCTGCAGCCTGAGCTGCCAAAGCTGCCACTGCAGCATTATTGTGAAGGCAGAACCCCATCGCATGGCTTACACCAGCATGATGACCAGGAGGCCTAACCTAATTTAGTTAGAAAAAATCATTAACTTAATAGATACCAAACCTTAAATTTATGAAAACAGTTATCAGAAATAACTCAATGATTCATACCAAAGCAAATCCATTTTTGGCACGCCCAGAAACAATTGTTGATGCCAGATCAGCACATATCCCAGCAGCCAACCTAGCAGCACGTGCGGAATGCTCATTGGCATATGTGTCAGAAGTGAAATAACTGCAATCACATCAACATCAACATCAAAATCACCTTTATCCCAAACTAGTTGGGGTACAGCAATCACATGAGATATTAATAATAATGAAAATATCCTATCAATATAAAGCAATAGCACTAAGCATCCTAAAACTAAAGAATTTAATATATATATATATATATATATATATATATATATATATATATATTTTATTTTTTTTCCCGTCCAATTAGAGGATTAGGATACAGGAAATGATACATGATAAGAATTTAACTCATTGGTAAGTGGAGATTTATGGCTAGATATAAAAACCAGCAAAGAGGACCAACAAAAGTACAGATTGTATTGAAAACAATATATCTAAGTCAAGAGGAGAAAGGGAAGAAGAAATAAAATATGCAGAGAGAGAGAGAGAGAGAAAGACACGGAGAGAGATTAACACACCTAGATGTTGAATCGCTTGTAACTTCCACTGATTCAATATGCTCCCAAGAATGAACCTTCAATTCCAATAAGTTAAAGACTTAAAATTGGGTGATTATCCAAGAGTTACTTCATAGATTTCATTAACATAATCATAGAATCCCAAAAGACAATCGGCAATAATATATTTTATATATATTTTGGAACTGATGAACAACCAATACTAATAATAGTGATTATTAGTGTTGAATAAAAAATGAGGCATGGAAAAATAAGGCAACAGTTTTTGGTCGTTGGTCCCACTATTTGGAGGTTTGAATCCTTCTGTCCCAAAGCATATACATTCATGACATACATCTTATTTAAACACAAGTCAGATTTTCCATTAATACACCCACCAAAAACATAGTCCAGAATAAATTATTAATAAGTATGTCTAGTCATTGAATAGCATTTGTTTGAGGCCCCATTTTATATTCATCATTGAAAAAGCATTGACATGGGCATTGGAAATGTGTACTTGCATGCCTCATATTCATCCAAGATATAGTGGAAATCAATTACCGAAATAAGTTCTTCTTCAGTGATTTCTCTAGCAGAAATTGAATAGCATCTTCCAGGAAATATACCTGCATGAAACTCGGAAAATTGATGCAGTGGATCGATAATACTATCAAATATAAATTTAAAATTGAAACTAAATCAGCAGTAGTGCTAATTTGAAAATTTCGATAGTAACCCAGAAAGAAAAATTACAGCAAATATTTACAATAGATAAATACCAGCTCTAGCAAGACTAGCAGCAATGGCTTGAAGACGATCTGGCCTTTCAGGGTGCAGATGTGATTTCATTTCAACCTACTCTAACCCAGCAACCACCAGAAAAGATATTATCACATAAGCAGACATATGCAATTCCAAGGGGGAAAAAAAGCACATGGATCATTTTATCACGTGTAAGGTGCACCAAAATACAGTGCTACTGTAGTGAAATTATTGTAGACTATGGCTCAAACAAAGAAGCCTTTTCCAATTTAAAAAAGAAAAGAAAAGAAAAGGATGAAGCGGAATAACAGCCGTTCCACACCACAGGTTAAGAGGACTCAGGTCGACAGTACGTCAAAAGGTATGATTTTAAAAAATGAGAACCCTGATTAACCTCCAATGTATTAAAAAGCCTGTATATGATACAACCCAACTAAAACATAAAATGAACCTATCTTCATAGATCATTTAAATTCCACAACACTAAATTTTAAGAAATGAATTTAAAATTTTTCAGTACACTCCAAGTGGTTCATACATGTTAATTAACTTAAGGGCTGTCCCATATTCTCATTACCAAACTGAATGTGACAAAAAAAAAAATGCAAAAAAGTTATACACCTTTGTGGATTTCTTCTCTTCTTTGGTTCTCCTCTCTTCTTTGGTTATACACTAAATTTTAAGAAATGAATTTAAAATTTTTCAGTACACTCCAAGTGGTTCATACATGTTAATTAACTTAAGGGCTGTCCCATATTCTCATTACCAAACTGAATGTGACAAAAAAAAAAATGCAAAAAAGTTATACACCTTTGTGGATTTCTTCTCTTCTTTGGTTCTCCTCTCTTCACTATAACAAAATTTATTCTTTTACCAAAGAAAAATGATAAAACACTAATTTTATACTATTATACCATCTAATAACTCATTGTATGTAGACAATGATTTTAACCAATATAACCATTAAATTATACCTAATTATCAAGTTGGTCTTGCAGATCAAATTTCATAAAAATTAAACAACTAAATGTGATCATTTGGTACATATTTTCACTTTCTTCTTGTATATCATGTTTTAGATTAATTTTATGTAATCCAATGGAGGACGAAACAATCTTGGATTAGTGTGAAATTTTATATGCATTACATGCATAAAGTATACTTTCAATCCAACGGTTAAAAATTAAAAGGGTCAGCATGGTGCTACAAAGCTCAAGCTTTGTGCAGGTCCAAGTAAACATTGGACCCACTATGTGGGCATATCACAAGCAGCCTTACCTTACACTGGCAAGAGGCTGATTCCTCGACTCGAACATGTGACCACCACAACACATGGTGACATCTCCGACTATTACACCAAGGTTCCCTTTCACTCACAATCCAAAAGTTGATTTTGTAAAACACTAATCCTATGAGAATTTATTCAATGGAGTAAGAATGATTTTGATACACTCATGCCTACAATGTGAAGGACGGCATCCTCCACATTTTAAAATGAACAAGAAACCCATTTGTTTATTTGAACAACAAAACAATCTTTGGCGGATGGTAAAGTAATTTTGTTTCAGGAAAACAAATAACTAAAATATTGTGTCAACACATTTATTGCACTATCTCTCTCTGTCATTTATTCATTTTCTGTCCAGTACCCATTACCAGCACCTTGCAGTTTTTCCTAATAAAGCAGGACGTAAGCAACAAACCATTTGTAGACCATATTCCATTGGCAATGCCAACTCCTAAAGTGAATCACAATCCCATAGGGGTCAAAATTTTCTGAATCATAATTTAAATCTGATTTTAATTGCTGCAACATGTCTTGCCAAGATGGAAATAGAGAATAAAATAGCTCATATACCTATAGGGTAAAATATATTTCAAGGTAAATAAATGTCACAAAATGCTGATTTTCTTTCCAATAGGGAAAAAAATAAAGATCCAATTATTGTCCACTTAAGTATGCTGGCTGCAATCATATAGATTTAAGATATTTGTTGTTCAAATAGTGAAAGTGTGAAACTTTCCAGTAAGGGTGGATCCAGATGATCATTAAGCAGGCAAAAATATTTAGACAGATAGGAATATATTTGTTGTACAAATTTTTCCTCCCTTACTTCCTAACTAATTTAAACATGGTTTTATGTTGACTTTCACATAAACATGCAATTCTAAGGAGATCATTATGGGTTATACTGCAATAGACAAAGAACCGGAGAGAGAAAGGGAGAGATGGTGCAGTAAATGAGTTGAAACTTTTATGTATTTGTCTTTAATACAAAATGACTTCACTATCCATCAAATTTGCTTTGTTATTAAATTAAACAGATGGAGTTATAGATAAGTTAAAACTGGTTTAAAAATGGCAATATGTAGAGAGAAAAATATTGAAGTGATGTTCCTTAGAAGTACGGAGTGTAAGAGCCGGGCCTTTGTGATTAATTTGAAAAGATTTTACCCTTTATTTTTAGTAGCAACTGGAACCAACTGGAGGAATCCCCTCTCCATACATATATATATATATATATATATATATATATATATATATATATATATATATATTATAAAAAACATAACACCCGTATATAGAACAAAGTGATAGTGTAAATACTGATATTGGTATCAATGTTTTCTAAAGGAGCCAAGCTATGAATTAACATTTTTAGAGATCACTTCAATTGCATTGGAAATAGAAACATTTTGGAAACAATTCAGAATGATATTTATAGTGAAAGTGGTATAATCTTGAAGCACATAAAGCTTACGAGAAAACAAATCATATACAAATTTAAAAGATTATACGTAAATATCATGCATGTATTCAAGTATGCTTTTAGTTATTAACTAAATCAGAAAATAGTTTATGGTATTATAAAAAGTAAAGATTATACTGCACATGATTAAAAATGGGAATTAACTGGAAGTAAACATTTTCCATATTTAGCATTAGATCCTCGTAAAGAAAAGGCCCCACTTTGATATATATTATCAACTAAAGTCTGCAGTCTGTCCCCAAATACACCAGTCTATATCATTCCTACAGAAGGGGAGAACTGACATTTCCTGTTTTCCAGTTCAATATTTTCAGTGAGCACAAAACCAAGACACAGAAACACAAATGTTTCATTGAAATAAAAGGAATTTTATATGATTGGATATTAACCCAAATTAACAAGATCTCTATTTGCTAGGAGGCTAGTAATAAAGCATAGCATCAATTTTGAAGTGGGATGAAAAAGGGAATAAATAAGACAAGCAGGACCGTACTTCTGCATGTAACAACATTCTCTCATCAAAGCCAATTGCTGTACAACTATTTGCCGCTGATTCCTGTGAGTCAACATCTACAAATATAAGGATAAAACTGAAATAAATTTGTAGTTTAATACCACCCCAAAGCGAAAAACCACATACAACCATATAAAAATGATAATATTTTAAGCAATAATCAACATAGGGATCTACAAAAACCAGAAATAATTGAGTAAATTGTACTGACCTCCCCTGCTGTTTGGAAACCCTAGAGAAATAACACCCCTTTGAATTTATAATAAGGGATACCCGGCCTGTATAAAAAATTTTGACGTAGAAACACCCCCTCCATACAAATTTGTATACAAGAAAAGAGAAAATTACACCAAACTGCCTTGGATTTTGTGTTTCTAATGCACACATCTTCTCCGTTTGTAAAACCTACCAAAAAAAAATGGGTTTACTTTTATTTTATGCCTCTCAGCTTCTTTTTTTGGGATAAAGGTGTTGTTGATGTAGATGTTTCTCAGCTTCTTTTTATTCAAGTTGCCATAAACAGCTAGGATCAGATATAGCTAAGGATTAGGATATGCCTTTAATTAGGGTTTCTGCCTATATAAAGGGTTTTTAATGCTGTATGGAGTTACTTCAATTTTTCTTAACAACATATGCTTTTCTTCTATATTCCCTATATGTTAACCAGAAGACCAACCTTCTACAGTTGAGTGCTACTGATTTAACCCTAGGCCTCCCATCCTACATCACCCCACCCCACACCAAATGAAAAAAATAGAATGAGGAGGAGCAAACAGAGTGATCATAAATTTTGATGACAAATGGATAAAGTTCTGAAAATAATAATAAAAGCACCGTTGCCTATGACAGCTTCAATGACCAGCCATAAAGGCAACCATTCGACAAACTTGGAAAGGAGAATTTGAATATATTGCTTCCCAAAACCAAGATTATTTACTGTACCAAAACAAAGTACAGAAAACCATTTTGACTCGATTATAACCATAAGAGAATTATTAGCCAAGCATTCATATTCACCTCTCAGTCCTTTTATATTTGGCTGGACCTCAGCCGTATCCTCATCTTCTGCAAAGGGAGAAGCAAAAAACCCATGGCTCAGGATTTTAGAATCCTGATGCTCTCCACATATCTGCACGTAGAAGATAGCACTAAAATATTCAAAAAAAATAAATAAAGAGTGAGTCATAGCAATGGTAGTTTACCACCAAATAGACACCCATAGCTCATGATCAATAACCATCCATGAAAGAATAAAATTTCCTACGTAAGAAACCCGTAATAAATAATGTAGCACACAATGAAAAGGTGAATGACAAACATACATCACAATGGACAACGTCATCTAGGTTAACCATAGTACAATTTTTGCAGCACCACTTGGTGACTTCCACAAACTTGGGTAACTCCAACGGCTCCCAATCATCGTCGTCGTCATCGTCATCATCGAACAGGTCTTGGTTTTGATACATATCCTGAAAAGTCAACTCCCTCGGCTGCCTTGCCCTTTTCAGCGGCTAAACAACAAAAACACACACACACAGACACAAACACAAAACGTGACATATATTAGAAGCTGAATTTGATAAACGTAAATAAGGTTCAAGCAGACACATACAGCATCAGTAGCTTGATCAGCTTGCTTGTGAAGACTGTTCTCAGCTCCTGCATTTGTTAAACGACTCGTTTCAAGTTCTCCAGCACCCATTAATTCTTTCAAAAACCTAGCAGTTAGTAAATTCCTTCAAAGTAAGCCAAAGTCACCAGAATTAAACAACAACACAGACAATGGTCCTAACGCAGTAGACATATTTCTCTTTTTTAAAACAAAAAGAGAAAAAAAAAAAAGAAGCATTCACTCCAGTTCTATAATCTTTTTGCCCTGGTGCATCTCTTTCATATTTACGAAAAGTCTGGAATCTTGGATTGTCAACAGGTGGAATACTTGGCAATCTATGATTCAAGAAAAGAGTATTCTCAACAAATTCATAGACTTCGAGTAACTGTTACTCTTGGATGAAATGCTAAAGGAATGTACACAGCGAGAGAGAGTCTTACCAGTTACCGGTTTGGACCAGCAGCTAGCACTGTGCAAAAATCACCGGAGTGGGTCGAGGCTTAGGGCAAGAAGGGAACAACACGAAAATAGCTTTTGTTTATTTTGCGGAAATGGAATTGTAATTTTAAATTGCCTCGGTGAGATAAAGCCCGTACCCCTAAACCAAAGGCCCGAGCAAATGGACCTACCAGGCTTTTGATGCGGCCCACTCTAATTTTCAAACGGGTATTTTTCTTTTTAAGTAGATTTTCAATTTAATCCTTAAAATGAATGTCGTAAAAATCGAGATTTTAAGTAAAATCTGATAAGGATTAAAAAATCGTAAAACATAAAATTGTAATATAAAAAAATCGTAAAAACGTAAAAGCGTTTGAAATATGGGTTTTATAAGAGTTATGTTGTAGGAAAAATGATTGTGTTATGCTATAGAGATTCATTTTGCATGTCGTAGTTTTTTTTTTCTTCTTCCAAACATGTGGGTCCCACAAAATGTTATGTGTGTAGGAGATTTTTTGTGATCATGTTAAATGACAAAAGCAAACCCCTTAAAATATTGGTAAAATTGTTTTGATGAAAAAAATCGTAAAAACATAAAATCGTACTGATAAATCGAGATTTTAACAACTATGCTTAAAATAGATTAGGAACACTTGATTATAGTGTTGGGCCAGGCCATCATAGTATATATAGTCCAATGGGCCGTCATGGATTTGAACATCAAGCTCCAAGTACAATCCCATAACGGGTCGGATATTCGAAAACGGGCCAGTGCTCTTCTAACTCCAAACGAACACCGTTAAACCCTCTAGGGTTTTGGAAACATTGCATGCTGTGAATTTTGATCGTTCATTTCAGTTATGGCTTAACAAATCCTATTCGATTTGAATTTTGCGCAATGTTGGACGAGAGCAAGTTCGACGAGCACTTCAAATTGTGGGCGCTTCGAATACCTTGCCAATTTTGCAAGGTTGCCACTCGAATTCTCAATGGGTATCTCTCCCTCCATTCTTCTCCATGTGTGTAAGCGCGCGTTTTTCACCTTCTCTGTTTCTAATCCCGTGCTTGATAAACTGTGCAGTTACATGCTTGACAAACCCCGAGTTAAACCCATCACTGAGGATCCAGCGTGTGACAAAAACCGTTACCTTATACTCTCCGAGAAAGTTCAGAATCAAGGTGGTATCAATTTTTGCATTTTTGGAATATCTTTCCTTTTTAAAAAAAAAATTAATATATACAGAACTACCTGAATGTAATGTTCCATCAAAATGGTTCTAATTTTTATCACTTGTATCTCCTTGGATTTCTGTTTCTTGCTCTCATGTTTGATTAAAAAATTTGGCTGAGGATACCCAACTAGGCCTTAACTTGTTATTCTGGAGAATCCATGGCCTATTCATCGTGTCATTTTGTGTAATTTTTTAAGTTTCGGTGGAGATTCTTATCCCTGACTTGATTTGGCTATGGGGCAGATTTATCCGATATTCCAAAGCAAAAGCTTGATGAGCTTAAGGGATTGTGTGAGATTGAAGTTTTGCCCTATTCGTTGATGCTAGGGTATTCATACTGGAATGCAGGTGAGTGCATTGTTCTCTTGAATTATACTGCAGAGGCTGCTTTTTAACATGATATCTGGATGTTGACTTGCCAACTATCCAGTTGATGGAATAGTTTTTGAAAAGTCTCTTCACCCAGGACTACAGTAGCAACTCTGATAAGCATTTTAACTTTATGAATTTTGTGTCAAGTAGTGGCATCCTTTCCTAGATCTTTAACCACGACTACCTGCTTAATTGCCTGATTAAGATTTTTTTGTCACGAAATGCTGATTCACCCAATACTTTATCCCACCGTGGCATACCAAATAGAGGTGTACTTCTTCTTTCTGGTCTGATTTGTAGTGGACCCTATTACTGTTTTATCATTTGCTTTGGTAATATCGCCATGTTGTGTTGGTATTCCATTACCATATTTGATTTGTCCGTTCAGTTTGAAGCACTTTTTTGTAATGATTCATTTGTTTCTTACATTAGGGTTACCTACAAATATTTATAACTGTCCGACAAATTATTGGGTTTGCAGATCATGTGCTAAAGAAGATCCTGCCTACTGGAGTGGAGGTGCCGTCGTCTTTTGAAACAATAGTTAAGTATTTAGAATTTATGATCATTTTTTGAGTGGTATCTGACCTTTATTAATTTTATTTTACTCTTTCTGGATTCTTTTTATTTTTTAAATTTTTATAATTTGTTTCATGTGCTTTTCAGATTAACTCAATAATATGCTTTATTAATTCTTTAATATTGATTCCTTCAGACAGAGGGAGGGTAGTGAGCTTTTCAATTTTGTTAACAATTAAATCTGTTTGGTCAGCCACCGATGGTAAACTAATGTTTGTCCTACTTATACAGGTCAAATTGCCCATTTAAATCTGCATGATGAATTACTTGCCTACAAAGATGTTATTGCAAAGGTTATTTATGATGTATGTATGACTACTTCAAGATTTAGTTTTAGCCCCGTTTTTTAACTTTCTTTGTCTATTTACTGCTATTGGATGCAGTAGTCTCATTTAATTTTTAGATACAAAGATATAATGCTTCTCTTTACTGAATTCTGTCCTTTAATTGCTTTTGGAATAGTCAGTATTACACCATCTTCTGTTTAGGAGTTTTTTTTCTTGACCTGCCTTACTTTGTTGAAATTGTTACAGCTTTTGTAAATTAAGTATTAAAATCTTTGATCCTGTTAGGCCTCGTACCACTACTACTTTGAGGACAACATAGAGGCAGTTTGGACTGTAAAGGCTGTAACAACCTTGCCTAGATGGCAAGGAGTGTAGGAAAAGGAGGAAGTTGGTTAGGAGTAAGGATAAAAGTGGAGGGAAGGATATGGGAGAGATAGGCAATCATCGAATAAGATGGAGTGTAGGAAGGTTGGGATATTCTGTGCATCTGCAGAATTCCCTTGTTTAACTTCTTTCCTTTTTCTGCATTTCCAGTCTTAACAGAGGGATACATATGCTTGTAAGGAGCTTGATCTCCCTATTTTCTACTCCAATTCTGCGTTCCTATCAGATTCATTTGATGCTGCTGCCTATGAAGTACCGACACTTCAAACCCTGACGTGTCGTGTCCGACACTTCTTGACACTCTCCGACACTCCGACCCTCTAACACGTGTTATAGAAATTCAGAAAAAAGTTCGAAGATTGCGTTGCGTTGAGTTTTTAGTTTCAACTATTAGATTCGTTTAATTTCAATTACCATTTTATTGAGTTTAATATAAATATTTAGGATATCTTATGTTTCTTTGCAAAATTGATGAATATTATAAGTTTAGTTTCATTTTTTGGTTAAATTATTGAATATTAAATATAATATACACTAAATAAATTAAAAATATTATTTAATATCAAAATGTGTCCTAACGTGTCGAAATCTAATATTTTTTAGAATTAATGTGTCCGAGTGTCGTATCATATCGTGTCACGTGTCCCGTGGCAGTATCGGTGCTACATAGGCTGCTGCCTTATTTTAGTACTGCTATACTGGTATTCATATCTATTTGTTGGTTCATGTGTGTTTGAAGCAAAATGAATGATGTTATTCTACAGAACAGACTATAGAGGCCACATTAGTCTGTGTTTTTCTTTAAATGACATCCGTTTGCTAAAAAGATGTCCAGTCATAGATTCATTCACAAATTCTACCTTTATTCTGTGAAGATGTTATGCATGTTCCTCCTATTAATATTTGCATTTTCACTATTTATGCAGAAAAATTTTCCAAGAATTAAAACTGTTGTTAATAAAGTTGGAACCATTACAAATGAATTTCGTGTGCCAGAATTTGAAATTTTAGCAGGAGAGCATGATATGATTACAGAAGTGAAGCAATATGGTGCCACTTTTAGGCTTGATTACAGTTTGGTTTATTGGAATTCCAGATTGGAACATGAACACAGAAGGTTAGTTTCAATATTCCGAGCTGGAGAGACCATTTGTGACATGTTTGCTGGTATAGGTCCTTTTGCCATTCCTTCGGCACAGAAAGGATGCATAGTCTATGCAAATGATTTAAATCCAGATAGCATTCACTATTTGAGGATTAATGCCAAAATCAACAAGGTCGATGATCGGATTTATGCATACAACATGGATGCTAGAAAGTTCATATCCCAGCTAATGGAAGTCCCAAATTCTGAGATTAAATTAGAATATGATGTCCCCATTTCGAATAATTGTGTCACATTCAATTGCGAGATACCAGACAATGCTGAATCAAATTCAGAAAATGAGTTGCTAACTGGTAATTTCTTTATGGTAAATAACTGCAAGTATCTATAATTGTGAGGTGAGAACATGTTACTTAATGCTAGTATTGCTATTGCAGTTGATACAAAGGACCTAGGAGATAGCATGAACAATAGTTTGGAGGATATACAAGGTTCAGCAAGGCATGCTGCTACATCTGTGATTGCTGTTAAAAGATCTTCTAGTAGTTCTCATGATGGTATTCTACTGACTACAATAATACATCAGGCTGCCACTACTTGTAGCTGTTACTTGATCCTCTAGCTTGTTAAAATTTCTGTAATTTCAGTTCTGGATTTAAGAGACTCAAAACCTTTTTGTCTAGCAGTCTCCCCTTTTCCTGGGAAAACAATTACAGCATTGATAGCAATAATCTGTAAGGTTGAAAGTAAAACTTTCAGTCATTTTTGTTTGGCAGGGAATGAAAAGGCTCATGGCACTGGCGTCCTTGAAGGTGGTGGGAATAAAGGAAGCACAAACAAGAGAATGAGAAGCTCTGAGATATCTGACACAAAAACTTGGGAACATATTGACCATGTAATAATGAATTTACCAGCATCTGCTGTTCAGTTTCTAGGTAAAATGCCATTTGATGTGATGTGACTATTTTCTCTTACAAATCATTTGACCTTTTATTCCCTTAGGTGAGTCCCTTATTTTCTTCATCTATTAGGAATACTAAAAATGGGTCCTTTACTTGGTAGTATATTAAAACTCAGGCAGTTTATCCTTCCACCACCACCCCTGGGTTGTAGGCAACTCTACCGTTTCAAGTGTAAAACTTATATTTATGTAGATTTTGATGTGACTTGTATATATTCTATAATCATCCTTGGTGAGAGTTTTAGATCTTGCTTCAGTTTTGTGCAGGATGGATTAATGACGTTATTTCTTAGCAGTTAGCAATTTTTTTATTGTGTGCACTGCAATGCGGTTTATTGTTGGAGTATTCAAATGTGATTAGTCCCACATTGGTTGGTAATGGGCTAAGTGAAGAGTATATAAGTGGAAGGATCTATGAACCCAATGCTTTAAGGTTTTGGGTTCAGACATGGTGTCGGATCCACTTGATATGGTGGTGTAGCCTTAGTCCATTAGTGGTGGTCCCCCGTCACGGGCTCCTACCTGGACCGCCTGACAGTGGTATCAGAGCTGGGTTTGGCTCCAACTAGCCGGGTGTTTGGCTAGGAGGTGGGTTGAGTACCTAGGCCCTGGGGTACTCAGTTGAGAAGGAGCATATCAATATTGGATTTCACACTTGAGGGGAAGATTTTTGGAGTATTCAAGTGTGATGAGTTGCACATTGGTTGGTAATGGGCTAAGTGAAGATATATAAGTGGCAATTTAACCCAAAAGCTTAAGCTATTGGGCGAGGTTACATTAATGGTTTTATATATCTTTAAGTATGCATGTTCTTTTACTGTGCTCTTTTTTATTACCATTTTAAGATATATAGGCAGATATCTGAATTCTGACTACAGATATGCTCTGCCAGATGCATTCCGGGGATTATTACAGAGGAAATATTGGAAAGGACATCTGCCATGGATCCACTGCTATTGCTTCATTAGGGCAACTGAAACTCCTGAGTCTATAATAGCTGTGAGTTCATTCTGCTAATGTTGTTTCACGTTTTCCCTTTTGTATGTTATGGTTAGAATATCAATGACTTCACTGATTTGTGGTATTTAAAATCTTCTGTCTGTTCTGATGGCTTAGGCACCTGGATTTTGTAAGCTAGATGGATACGGACACTGATGAAATATATGTACTTTAATTGTTCGGACTACGGATGGTTAATTGAACTTTATCTTGCAGGAGGCAGAGTCTGCTTTAAACGCTCCTATACAAGACCCAATATTTCATAGGGTTAGGGATGTGGCTCCAAACAAGGTACCAGTTATTCAGCATCACATTTTAGATCATTTCGGTAACTCTTATTATTCTCTTCTAGTTGATTTGTTGAACATGTATAATTAACTACATTTGGGTCTTGCTTTTTATTTACTGTGCAGGCAATGTTTTGTTTAAGCTTCAGGTTGCCAGGAGCATGCGTTAGTGAAGATAGTCAATAGCACAATCCTTGGTGATGCAGCTGAAGAAAAAGTAACTTTGTATATTTTACTACCTAAATTTTCAGGGTTTGACAGGGCCGTGCCTGTGCATCAATGCATGGATGGATTCAATGCCATGTTCTCTCTGACTCAAAGACAAGCATAATGAAACGTGAAAAATTAAAAAAGAAAAAGAAAAAAAGGAATAGGCCTTACTCTTTGAAGATCTTGAAGGGTATTCATTCTTGTCGATATGTATTGTATTTCGATATTTGAAATAACTGAAACAAGTTATGTTTCGAAGCAAAAAGTGCCGAGTTAACTTCAAAGCAAAAACTGGATCGAACTACCGAGTTTTTCTGTTAGAAGACAAGTCAGTTATAGAGGATTTCTTCTTGTAGTTTATTAAAAGTATATGTTGTAATGAGTTCGTGGTTATTTTGAACAATGATTGTACGGCTGTTATTGTCATATCATATGGGATAGCTGGTTCATGATGTTAACATACTTTGAGTGAACTACCAAATATTTTTTAACGATTGATTTCAGTACAAATGCACGAGTCTATTAAATATAATATACAATAAATATTTCCCAGATTAATACTATTAAAAAAGAAATGAGTGTTGGAGTTAGGGGTGTTCGTCAACTGATTTAAACTGCGGTGATTGAATTGAAAAATCGATAATCGAATTAATTGAAAATTGAAAAACCAAGAATAGAAAGAAAATTACATATTTTAATTGAACTGAATCGATTTTCGGTTTGGTTAATGAAAATTGATGTAATGTATTATGTATTTATTATTTTTGAAATATGATAATTTGAAATCTTGTTATTTTGTAGACTTGAAATATTGGACGTTATTGATAACAAACTATCTTGTTTTAGTTTTTATTGTTTATTAATCTATTTTAACTCTTCGTGAGTTTTAAAATTTGTTTTTATTTGAATATTTGAATTTTTTGGTCGTTTGTAGCTTTAAATGACTTTATTTTGACATAGCTATTGATTTGTATAACTAAAATTTTAGCGTTTTCGAAAAATTGAAAATCGATCTAATCCAAACCAAATAAAATTGAATTGGATTAGATTTTTTTTAAAATAAAAAATAAATAGATGATTAAATAATCAAAACGAAAGAATTGGATCGAATAATTTTTATTTCAAAATCAATACAATCTAGACCACAAACACCTTACTCGGACTAATCTTAAGGCATATCATATGCTTCCTTTCGGCAGAAAGAGACATATACTATTAATTAGATTTTGAACCAGGTCAAGCATATCCTCAAAACGGTTGCTTTGATTGGTTCAACTGTAAAGTTATAAAAAAGAAAGGATAAAAAGGGTGACAGGACTTGGTGGTTTACAATTTACAACTGGACTGGTTTATCCGTTTAGTTTGTTTAATCAGAAACTCCCATGCAAAGTTCATTCGCTAATTGTTGATTCGTTCATAGTTTACGTTGGAAAGAAGTTAATGTCCTAATGAAACAAAATCCTAGCCTTGGAACCTGGCTGTTGCATGCTAGTAAAATATATAGTATCATATCCCCGCAGAAGTGCATTGAAGCAGAGTTTCATTTTCATCCACTTTTAGCGAAAATGTTTTCATATAATTATTATTATTCAAATATATCATCATAAAAGAGTTTGAATATATTAACAAAAATTTCATTTTGTGTAAAAAAATTTTGTATTTTATAATTCCATCATATTTATCGCATCATTAAAAGAGTTAAATAATTTTTATAATGATTATATAAAAAGTCAAACTTTTTTAATAATACCAAGATTAAATGACCATAAAAAAAAGTATAAATTTATATTTAATTTATTATGAGTGTAGTAGAATTTTTTACTTATTATCAAATCATATACATCATATCCTTAATATAATTTGACCTTGGTAATATTACAGTACTACACGAGTAATGTAAAAATAATTAAAATGCAGTTATCAAAATTTATATTTATACTTTGTTATTCCATGCCGCAAGTCCTAAAACCTTTGGAAAAAGATGTTGTAAGTGATATTACTTTTATGAGTAATATTAAATACTTCTTAAAAAAAAAAGTTATTATTAGAAGAAATCACATACTGAGATCATTAGATGAGTACGGGTTCAAGTTATTTAATAGAGTAAGTATAACATTTCATGCAATAATAAATAAAGTGTTAAACAGAGAGTGTGTCAAAGAATATATTGTTAGTGTTTTTCATCCTTAAAATTAACAAATAAAGATACATATATATATATATCTTAAACTTTTAATAAGTTAAGATTATAATTTATTTTTAGTTAAATAAATAGTATATACACTATTATTTCTAGGCTTTAATAGCCCTTCAGTTGCTGCAGATCAGAAAATTTACAGCAACACTTACTTTCATTGGGTTCTGTATCCTTTTTTTTTTTTTTTTTTTGCTAATTTCAGGATTTGGCTCCGTATCTTATTATAATATATTTGCTGCAAGTTTTTTCATCAGTATTGACAGCAGAAATGAAGAACCCTTATTTCTAAGTACATTTAGTGAAGTGTTGAAGGACTTTTGTCCAATCTGTGGTCTCTCAGGACAGGCAATTGAGAAACAAGAAATACCCAATGAGGATAACACGTCCTTCTTCTGAGTCCTGAGATGCTATTTGATTTTCTATATTTGGAAAATTGCAAAAAATGCAATCCTTAGACGTAAGCCCTTTTATTAAAGCAAAAGGCTATGCTTTGTTAAATTAAGATATTCACAAAGGAAGCAAGACAGGACAATAGGATAAACAAGGGTACACGTAAATTCAAGGTGTAAAGTTTGATATTTGACGACTCTGTCCCTCTTCTATTCTGGTCAATTACTAGTCAATGCATTGTCCTCCACCAAAGTTTCTTGTGTCCCCATTGTGCATGCGTTTGTTTACAAGCTCCCACTTTGAAAGCACCACCACTACTATAGACTATAGTTGAGTACGTAATAATAATAATAATAATAACAAATTGATTATTGTTCTTTATTAATAGTTGAGATTTATCATTTTACTTTATAAATGAATCTCATACTTTAGCAGAAGATCAAATCTTGTAGAATATTGTATCTTTAAAGAGCATTTAATTGGTTACTTTATTATCTTATGGCCTAAATGATCTGTGATATGTGTGTGCTGGTAGGGTGAGACACATGATTGGCCTTGCAAAAACTCCTTTTACAATTATCATGTTGATGATACAAAGAGGTTAATACTAATGCAACTCGTGCTGGCACTATAACTGAATTAAGGAACGAATCTTTGTTCCATTTCCTGCTTTTTATGTTATTGTAAAAAATTCAAAATTCTAGCCTTTGTTTTACCTTCTATGTGAAGGCACTGAAACACACGCACAAAGAAAGAAAGAAAGAAAGAAAGAAAGCCCTCAGCATCTATAAATTCTGGTATCAAGAATCATACCCTCCCCTTTCTTTTTCTTATATTTGATTGACTCCCATTTATTTGGGTTCTTTTCTGTCATTATTCTTGAATCTTTGCTAGTCTCGAGGCAGAGAATTGAGCATAGGAAAAGCCATAAAATGGCACAAGAAAAGGAAACCAACGTTAGGTACCTAGTGGCATTTCTTCTAGCTTTCTTAACTATGGTCTCGTGTGGCTCTGGGGTTGGAGTGAACTGGGGAACCATGGCAACACACCAGCTTCCACCAGAGAAAGTGATTAAGATGCTTCAAGAAAATGGTTTTGATAAATTGAAGCTGTTTGATGCTGAAGAATGGATTATGGCAGCTCTTTTGGGGACTGATATAGAGGTGATGCTGGCAGTACCCAATAACATGTTGGAGGAGATGAGTAAGAATCCTAAGGTTGCAGATTCTTGGGTTGATGAAAATGTCACCAGTTACTTGTACCCTGGTGGACTAAATATCAAGTTAAGTACTTGTTTGTACAAGTATATTCAACATTCTTGATCACATTATATCTTGCATTTTTATTTTTATTTTAATTTACTTATTCTTTTACTCAAGATGCTGCTAGCTTGTCTTTCGTTTTTCTTGGTCAAATTATTGTTAGTTATGTCTTTAATTTTCTGAAGGCTGGGGGAGTTGGTACCATACTTCTTGGAATGCATATTCTGTCTGTAATCTTTTGCATCTATTCATTAGCTTCTTGAACTAATACAATAAAACTAGTGTTTCAAGGAATGTTGATAAATCAGAAGCCTGCTAAGGTGCCTCAATTAAAGGAGTTTAAATAGCAGTCTTTCTTCTACTGTACTTTATGTTCTTGTTGATCTTATACAAGCTTCTGTTGTATATATATATATATGTTTGAAGTCATATTTTAACTCTACTTCGTATCATCATGCTTATGATGTCAATTATGCAGGTATATTGCCGTGGGTAATGAGCCTTTTCTTAAGGAATATAATGGCACCTATTTACACTCAACTCTGCCAGCTCTTAAGAATATACAAACATCCCTTAATAAAGCAGGCCTTGGTTCAAAGATCAAAGTCACTGTTCCCTTCAATGCTGATGTTTACTATTCACCCGACTCAAATCAAGTTCCATCAGCTGGTGACTTCAGACCTGAAGTTCGAGACTTGACAATTGAAATAATCCAGTTCTTATATTCAAACAATGCCCCTTTTACTGTCAATATCTATCCTTTCCTTAGTCTTTATGGAAATGATCATTTCCCCTTTGATTTTGCATTTTTTGATGGGAGTAACAAGCCCCTTATAGATGGTGATTCACTTTACACCAATGTGTTTGATGCAAATCTGGATACCCTTCTGTGGGCTTTAGAAAAGGCAGGATATCCAGACATGAATGTTATAGTTGGAGAAGTTGGATGGCCAACTGATGGTGATGTGAATGCTAATGTCCAGAATGCAAAAAGGTTCAACATGGGTTTGCTTAAACATGCTCTGAGTGGAAATGGTACCCCTAAAAGGAAAAGCAAAATTGACATTTATTTATTCAGCTTGATTGATGAGAATGCTAAAAGTATTGCTCCTGGCAACTTTGAGAGGCACTGGGGAATTTTTGAGTTTGATGGGAAGCCAAAGTATGAATTAGACTTAACAGGTCTTCAAGAGAATAAGGGTTTGGTTCCTGTGGAGGGTGTAAAGTACATGGAAAAGCAGTGGTGTATCTTGGATCCAGATGCTACAAACTTGCACTATTTGTCTGATAGTATTGACTATGCTTGTACCCTATCAGATTGTACTGCTCTGGGCTATGGTTCTTCTTGTAATAGTCTAAGTCTCCAAGGGAATGCATCTTATGCATTTAATATGTATTATCAAGTTAATAACCAGAGGGATTGGGACTGTGATTTCTCTGGTTTGGCTATCTTAACAGATGATGATCCATCAGAAAAAGGGTGTCAGTTTCCTGTGATGATCTCTCATGGTTGTTCTGCTTTGATGCAGCATGAAGGGCTTTCAGAAATCCTAATGAAAGCTTTTGGTATATCTATTTTTCTTGTATTTTTACTATAGCCAAAAAGAAGCCAGGAGCACTAAAAAATGTGTCCTGGCAGATTTGTACTATATGTTTTTGAAGAAATTTATATTCGTATCAAACAATTTCGGACACTTCCCTCTTGATTTTTTATTTTTTTTTAAGGATATAAAACTTAATAGTTAAATCTCCACTTACCTTAACTAGGTGAGCTAAGTTCAAGTGGCTTTTAGCACATAAAATATAAAATGTGTGAGTTTGCTTGCAGCTCGTGTATAACTACTAGGCCTAAATCATGTAGTTTTAAAAGCTAACCCTAGTTATCATAAAGGTTTTTCCAGGTTGACAATGGTTTGGTTACTATTTATAACAACCTAAGCCCAACTAGCTCAAAACAATTGTTAGGTCAAATGCCGTTGCCCCCAAAAATTAATCTGATTAACAAAGTGTCCTTGTGCAAGGAACATTTCTTGGTTCGTAATTCAGGGAGATGAAAAATGAGACATTTACCAATAAGACCATGCTTGTTTTATACTCAGCATGAGATTAAAATTGATTTTTACCATATATTATTTAGATTTATTTTTTCTGTAGTGAATGTACATAAGTTATTTATATTGAGCTTAAAATGAAGTTGTTTTAAAACAAAAATCAAGGTATTTTTGTAATTGTAGTTTATTTCAAGGTTATAATAGTTTTTTTCATTATAATTTTTTAATATTTCAACCCAAAACGACGTTGTTTTGGTAATGAATGTAGAGAAGTTATCTATATTCATTATCTACATTCACTATAAAAATATTAAAGCCATATTATTTTGAAAAAATATTCAATTTTTTCCCTTGTTTTAATAAAAATATTTAAAATTTGCAAATATATGATCAAAAACTCAAAGTTCAAATGTCACAATTCACATTTTCAGCATAAAAATTATGGGTTTCATTTTTTTTTGCAGCTGTGATAAAAAGATATATCTACTACAGACACATTCACCAAAATTCGCCGATTTTTTTTAAAATCAAAATCCAACATTAGATTCCGATAAAAAAATGTATATGTGGTAGACAAAATATTTATGCTGCAAGGCAAAAATACTTTTGTCATCCCACCAAAGAAAAAAAAACCTTGAGAGTGCATCATCAATATTATGATTTTAGCTTACTGTTGGATTAGAAAATGGTTAGGTTACGTTTTGTTCGTATTTTTATTGGAAAGAAAAAAAAAAAAAGGTTAAGCAAGAGCAAATAATTTTGAACAGGTTGAAATGGACATTAATTGGACATCGAAGACCTCAATTAAACCCGTTAAAATTCGCAACGGTAACGTATTGGTGGGGAACCTTAATTCAAAAAAAAAAAAAAAAAAAAACGATACATCACGGACAGAAGGAGTAACGGACAAAAATTTGAATTCAAAAGAGAAAACATGAACCTCTCTCACACTCGTGTCTCTCTATCTTATACCAGTTAAGTTGACACACACACTCAGAGTAATTCGAAGCAGAAGAAGAAGCAAATAGCAACAATGGCTTCCCTAACCCCAGGAATTCTTCTAAAAATGTTGCAGGCAATGAACTCCAACACACGCGTCACCGGCGACCACCGTTCCCCACTCCTCCAGGTCATCGGCATCGTCCCTGCTCTCGCCGGCTCCGACCTGTGGTCCAACCAAGGGTTCTACCTCAACCTCTCAGATTCTCTTAATTCCACTTATGTCCTTCTCTCACACCCTGACACCGACCTTATCCTCTCTAACCGTCTCCAGCTAGGTCAGTTCATCCACGTCGACCGCTTCCACTTCGATTCCCCACTCCCTTCCGTCTCCAACATCCGCCCTCTCCCCGGCCGACACAACAACTTCCTCGGATCCCCCGAACCACTCGTCGCCCGAATGTCCCCTTCTAACCGCCACTTCATCATCCAACCCCTCTCCGATTCCGATTCCGATGACCCCCTCCCTCTCCATCTCTCCAACAACAATAACAATAATAACAACAATAACAACAGTAACAACCAACCTGAGGTTGTTAGGTCAAGGCAACCTCTTGCGCCACGTGACAATCTGCCTCAACCTCAGAGATTCTCATCTCCGGCGACGGCCAAGAGATCCCAATCCGCCGGTAGGAACAAGAACGCTGCGGCTGCTGCTGCTCCTCCGGCTGAGAGGGATCCTTCGCCTGCTGCCGGAAAAGGGAAGAGGTCGGCGTCTCCTGTGCCGTCCAAGTGTGTGGTTCCCAGCTTGGTTTCTGCTCGCGACGAGAACCGGAGAGTTTCGAAAGAGCCGGCGATTATCGTGCCGTCGAGGTACCGGCAACCTTCTCCCGGTGGGAGGAAGCAGCCGTCGCCGAACCCGCGGAGGGCTTCGCTTTCTCCCGGAAGAAGGTTGTCCGGTGGTCTCAAGATTTCACCGGCGATGTTGGATTCCGCCGGTAAAAAGAAAATGGTAGCAGGAATCTCTAAGGTCTCTGATGCGTTGCTGGTTGGATCAGCAAAGACTGTTAGGAAGAATTGGGATGAGCAACAAACAGCACCATCATCCCTTGAAGTTGAACACAAAGAAGTGAGTGTGCCCAAAAACAAGGTTAACCCACAAGCAATTCTGCGTACACAGGTAATTATTTAAATAAGTAAACACCAAAGTGAGTTGAATCAACTTTAAAATAGTGAATTGTAAAATTGCATACAAATTAGATCTTGTATTTTGTTTTTATAATGCACCTCACTTTGTTGTTTTTTGTTGTAATTTGCCAGGCTGCAATGTCAAGGAGATTAAGTGATGTGAATGGTCAAAATTCCGGTAGCAATGATTCTTCAACCAATGAGAAAACTAAAGCTTGTTCTCCCAAAAGTTGTCTGGCCCAAGAGAAATCCAATTTAGCAGATCTGGGTATCACCGTTCATGAAAAGAAATGGACTGATGGAAGTGTTCCACTAGATGCGGTGTCTGCCAAACTTTCAAGGCTTGGAAAGGTATGAATTTTTGAAATTTAGTACTTCAATGGAATTTAGACATAGTAAAAACAGGATTTGGCATATTATTATCTGTTCTAGCTTTTGCATCCAAACCAACGGATTTTTTACATAAAGTGCAGCATTTAATTTGGTCGTTTGACTCAGTTTGATAACTCTTCTTATCAACTAAATTCAGGAAGCATTGCAAAGGAAAATTCTTGCTTCTGCAGCTGCTGCTGAAGCATTAGAGGAGGCCAATGCCACTGAATGCATTCTAAGAAATTTAAGGTAATAGTCACACTTGGACCTGAATCTTATATTGGAATAGAGTCTATTATATTCCAAAAATTTGAATTCTATTGGCAGTTTCAATTTTTGAACCTTCAATAGAAAAGTCCATTTTCTATTAAAGGGTGTCAAAATTCATATCTTTTTTGTACATATTTTACTTCCTCCTTAACGGCTAACATTGAATAATACATTTTTATTTTATGTTCTTTCTGCCTACCTCAGCATGTTTTCAGACCTCTGCTCAGTGTGCCAGGCCACAAATCCCTTGCCAACCATAGACAGATTTTTTTCTATCTATGATGATGTTGTAAGATCAATTGCAACGGCTGAGTCCGTTGCCAACAGTCACAATTCTGAGAAACCTGATGACAGTGTTCCAACAGAGCAGACAAAATCACTCTTTCTCTGGGTTGAAGCTGCCTTGGCCACTGATCTTCAGATAGTATCCCTTCTTAATGGCACTGACGCTGATTATCCATCAACACTGCAAAAGAACAAGTCAAAAAGACACTCTCTTAGTGCAGCTAAGAACCATCTGAAGGCTTCTTCATCCCCACAATCTAATTTGAGTGCTGGTGTGTGGACAAGAGGTGGTGGAATGAAAGAGACAGTGGAGCTTGGAACAAATTTGCTCTCTGAAATGCAAATGTGGTTTCTACGTTTTGTTGAGGAGTCCCTTGATGCAGGATTTAAAGTGTTTGGAGAGTGTACTACTGATGGGAAAAAAACATTGCCTCTGGATGGTGGCTCCATTGCTGTTGTTTTATCTCATTTGAAGCGTGTAAATGCATGGCTGGACCGCGTAGTTTCCAAAGGGAATGACTCACTGACAGTTAAGATTGAAAATCTGAAGAGAAAGATCTACGGTTTTGTTATTCAGCATGTAGGAACAACTTTTGATAGTTCCGTATCCCCTGCTTCATCCTGAAATTCTGTTTCTTTTCTTTTTCATTTTACTTCGTATTTGGACTTTGAAAATGTTGAAAGGAAGATGCTTCTTCCAGATAGATTGCTTTGCATGCTTAGGACAATGATCATTGTTTCATTGTAAATTTGAGAAAAGGTGATAATGGATTGAGTTTTTTTATTATTATTATTTTGAACAAAAATAAAAATTGAACCAATTAAATTTAATCTGGATGGATTGTATGAGTTAAGTAAATTTTATTTTACCAACTCGAATTTAACCCAAACCATCCATGGGTTGGTTCAAGTCAGATGATCAAAATGATAATTTTACCAGTGGTCCATCCCCTATTTTGGCTGTCCCCGGAGTCGGGACAATCATGGTGGAAAGTTAAATTTCTCTAACAGGGGAACTTGTTGGATGATGGCTCTGTTACACTTGGACTATGATTTTTTTTCTTCTTAGAAACTTGTAGTGATGTTGGTTAGGTATACAGTTTAAGTGTTCCATATCTTTTAAAGTGTATTTTTGATAAATTGTAATAGTTGTGCAGCTAGATTCTGATCACAATAACATGTCAGAATCTTCATCATCTAAGATGGATTCTATAAACAAGAAGACTGGATGGGACTCCCTCAAAAACCCACATATTTTAGTTTTTCTTCCGCTTAGCTAAATATGTTTTAGCAAAAGCTAAAAGCTCCCAAATTTTTAGAATTCTCGTATTCATTTTCTAATTAGAGATAGGGTGTGTTTCAACATTACAGGGAGTTATATACAAAATTAGAAATAAATATAAAATATTAAATATGAAAATGAATTATCTGATGTGAAAAAAAATATGACATGGTCATGTGAGAATATCACAAACATAGAAAGGTAAATCAATGGTTATGATTTTGTAAGTACCTATTATAATATATTTTTTCTCTCTTCATTTATTACCATTGATCTATCTTTGTATGGTTATGACTTTCCACATAATCATATCATTCTTTTTCACATGAGAGAATCCAGATCCATTAAATATAGGGAGAGAAAAGAAAGTTTTTAGAAAGTTAAATCGACATTATTGGATCAACATAATCAATCTAACGGTTAAATAAATTAGAAGTGACATTGGTAATAATTTTTATTGGTAATAACAATATCTTATCTCTATTTTTTAAGTTTTTTTTAACTTTTGTTTTAAAATAGGGGCAGGTTATATTTATAAATTTTTTTGTTACAAATTCTTACAAACTACACTAAGTAGGACCGGTCCTACATTAATCACACAGTGTACGACCGGTCCTACTTAGTGTAATTGCAAAAAAAATTTGTAAACGGATCATGTCCCTTTAAAATAACGGATACCTGTTATTGAGAACTGGACATGGAAAAAGAATGACGGCATATGAAGAATAAATTTGCGGCATTACTCTCTGAACAAAACTCAGGAGGCACGAGCAATCCGATACCTAGCGGTAGTGCAATCTAAAAAGGTTCCCTAGCTACCCAAACCCGTTGGCTCAGATGGAAGGTGTCTGAGTTCCCTTAACCAATGGTCTCGAGTTCGAGCCCTGGGTATGAAAAAAACGGATTGGGTAGTGCTACCCCCGAAGGGACCGACAATGCACGGTTGGGATTAGTCTCACTCCCAAAGGGGTGGGGATACCCTTGAGTACACTCAAAAAAAAAAAAAAAAAAAAGGTTCCCCAGCTTTAAAATTAAAAAAAAAGCGTAAAAGTAATAGTAAGTTAAAACCGAAATTATTAAGGTGTTTCAGGATCATCATTGATTTAGTGGGACAAACCAATCAAAATCGGAGAGAGATATGTGTACAGAGGAAAGAAAAAAAAAAAAGTTAAACCATGTGTCATCTTTTTTAATAGAAGAATCATGTGCACCAAGAGCACTGAAAGTTCTCTCAATTAAAACGAATAATGACGCAATTGGATCAAACAATCATTCATTTCTTTATAGATCAAGTTTTAAGGATGCTTGACAAATCTCTACTATCCATTAAGTTTTCAGGTACTCCCAAACCTTATAAATCCTCTCAAAAAATTTCTAGAAAATGGGCGCTTCTCAATCTCAATGGATCTCACTGTTCTTTGATATTTCAAAGAACATACTACACAAGTTTAAGAACTAAGTTACTATATAGCTTAAAGCAAGGAAATGATCAAGAATGAAAGTAATCAATCAGTATAAACAAATTAGGTGTAAGAATTAAGTCTCAATAAATGACGAGATAGTGTTCTTGAACTTTTAAAGTTGCTACAAGTGTATTTATATATGCTTCCAGTAAAATATAGCCATTTACTTGGTAAATGTCAGGATAGATCCTGATAAATTGTTCCCGTGAGTTTATCCGGATAAATCAATTATTTATCCTAGTAAATGGTCATTTATCTAGATAATTTTTTTAATTTATCCGGGTTTGACATATATGCGTGAAGTTTTAATTTCTTTTGATTCAAATGAAATTTTAACCACTTGGACACATGTAAATTGATGATAAGAATGTTTATGAGTTCAAAACATATTGAAACCTATTAAATCAATTTTTTAAAGTATCATGTGAGTTTCATGCATCCTTTCACTATGCAACTTGAACAATGTATCATTTTTTGGTCCAAAATGGTTTCTAACACGTGGCCACATGTAATTGGAGTGTGAAAGCATGTTTATGAATTTTTATTTTTATTTTTGGAAATTACATGTTTATGAATTTAAGTCATGTTAAAACTATTGTGGTCCATTTTTGACATATCAAACCAAGAAATTCATACATTTTTTCACCATGTAATGTTAGAAATGCTTTAACTCATGGAATGCAAACTATCATATACCTTTATAATCATATTTCAAGTGCTAAATTAGTATTCTAACGTATTTTTGGACATAACTCCATTATTTGGTTCTTGGACACTTTAATTTGTTGGATTTGCTTCATTTTTTTTTTTTTTTTGCTTCACTTTTACATATGGTTGGAATGCATCTTGATTTCTTTTATATTACTGCTTGTCAATTTGCTCTTGAATCAACATATATTATTGTCAAAACTATGATGACATGACACCATTAAAAACGTCAACATTTGGTGCATAAGATCCATATCTTGACTTAATTTCTCGCCTATAATATACTGTATTGTGGTAATAATTTAATCTAGGTGTTATATTCATTTATTTCTTTATAGAGTAAGTATTTAAATTGCTATTTCCAAGTTATATATGAGATCAAGTTGATATTACAAAGATTTTGGATGTTACTTTCATCTCTTGTTATTTAAAAAAAACATTAATTTATTCCTTTTGATTTATCTTTAAACATCACCCTAGTTTATAAGTTGATGTTTAAGTTATGAAGCACTAACTCTATTTATCAAAATAAAATAAAAATGAAGCACTAACTCAATGTCCAAAATATTTTGACAACCAACTTGATGTCAACGATCATTTTAGATATTGACTTTTACTTATGTGAATATCTGTATCACTTATACAATATCATTATGGGAAAAATATTTATATTTGTACTGTAGAAAATATTTCTTTGTCACACTTCATAAAAATGAGTGAATTTCATTAATATTTCTCTCTATTCTTTTTACAATGGAATCTACTCACTTTTACTTTAGTATAATAGAGAAATATTTTCTATAATAAAAGTAGAAATGATTTATACCACATGTTACTCTTATAGCCAAGGATGTTAAAATTGAGATATTAAGTAAAATCGTAAGGGAATTAAAAAATCGTAAAATGTAAATTCGTAATGTAAAAAAAATCATAAAAACGTAAAAGCGTTTGGAATATTAGTAAAATCGTTTTGGTTAAAAAAATCATAAAAACGTAAAATTGTAGTGATAAATCGCGATTTTAACAAATGCTTATAGCCATTTTTTCATTCAACAATAAGCTTTTTTCATAAGTATGTTTTCACATGTTTATTAAATTTAATTAATAGAATAATATTTCTGCAGTTATTGCAGATAAATTATCTGCATTTATTTTCAAAATGACGTTGCTCTGGGATTGAAAAATTAAATAATTATAATTATAAAGACTATAATAACCCTGAAATAAATTAAAATTACAAAAACACAATGATTTCTGCCTCAAAATGACGTTGTATTAGGTTTACTGCAAATAAATTTATCTGCAGTAACTGCAGAAAAAGCGAACCCTTTAATTAAAGGCTTTCATTTTCTCATGTTGTATGAGAATTATATTATCATATTATGACTCAACTAGTGATGGGTCTTATACTTATTTTTTTTTTAAAATTGCATGCAAATCGAAAGTTTAGTGTTTTTTCCTTTAATTAAGGTGATCAACCAAAACAAATTAAAATTAAAAATAATTAAATAATCTCGAATAGTTTTACACCTATATCAACATTAGCTGGGCAATTATTATCAATGTGATTAAAAGGTGTTATAATTATTTTATGTCAATGCTCAATCTGAACTCTAACGATTCATCAACTAAATCACGAATTATTCACCAGTTTGATGAAATATACCCATGGAGTCAATTTGATGCGGAATTAATGCCAGATGTTGGCGTATAATTGGTTAGAAAGCCAATTTTTTAAATACTATTGGAAGGGGTAATATAAAATATGATATCATTTTTTCAATTAATTTAAAAAAAAAATTATAAGAAAAAGGGTATTATCAATGTAATTTTTTATATATACAATGTAATGTTTTTTATTCATAATGGTTGAACGTATAATTTTATTTTATTTTTGGTAAAAGAACGTATAATTTTTATTTAAAAGTGTAACTATACAATTCGGATGACAGAAAAGAAGATAAAAAACATATTGTGTGGTAGATATATTGAAGAGTGAGAATAAGCGAATAAGACACGAAATAGATGATGGAAGAATGATTCTTCAACATACAAGATCCTTAGAGAGAGGTTTCTAAAACTAAATATGATGACTAATTAGGGATATGATTAACTTACATCGGTGTAAGAATAATAAATCTTACACTATATTTCAATCATTGATTTTGGTGCATCTAATAGTTAAGATTTATTGGGACATAATAATTAATTAATTTTATGACCCAATAAATCTTAAAGTTAGATGCACATGAATCAATGATTAAAATATAGTGTAAGACTTTTTAACGAGCCCCATCTAATTAATTGGTTTCAAAATCTAATTCCATGATTATATTTAAATTCAAATTTTAAATTTGGAATTCAAAATTAGAATTCAAATTAATTTTATTAATTTAACATTTAAATTTTTAAGTTGCACCATGGATCAAGTCCTATTTGACCCGTGACGCATACAATTTTAATTTTATTTAAAAACTTTCTTAAGATGGAAATTTTACATATTTTTTCAAAATAATCCAAATCATAGTATGAATTACATGTGGTAAATTTTTTCATACAATTACTCTGATTATACTATAATATAAATTGAGAGAATCGATTGACATGTTATGGGAATGAGAGGAATTTTGAGCTTATATTTCCAAAAATTTAAAAAGAAATTTGAGCTTCCAACAAGTGCATTAAAAAATGTGTTATTTATTTTTGGAATCTATTTATCTCATGTTACATAAGATAATTATCTTATATAACATAGAAAAGATAATGAGATCTATTATTTTTTCAAAAATAAAATAAAATAATGGATCTCACTACTTTATCTCTTACATGAAATAATTATTTTATACAACATGAAATAAATTTTTATTTATTTTTAAGAATTAAGTGAAATTCACTTTTTTTTTTGTTTCACCGACAGGAGACTCGATTCTTCCTTTATAATTATACCAATAAAGTTTAGAACCTAAGTATTTAATGTTTATTTACCAGGCCTCTCAATATCAATTTATGACAATTAATGACACTTTTTAATCAATATTTCAATAGAAACTGGCAATTTATTGCGTGTATAATTGAATTATTTTGGTTGTATATGCCTCGAAAGTCAATTGTAACACTTTTATTTGAAAAGTAACTTTACTGAAAATTTGGTCATTGAGGAGCGTTTCTGAACTGACAATTAAGTGAAAGTGGAAAATGGCGAAAAGAAACAAAGAAACGGGGATAGAACTTACTCGAACAAGTTCTCGAGACCATGCATGCCGGCCAGATGTCTTCTCTAATTTTCCTCAACTGTGCGTTTTTTAGGAGGCATAAGGTACTATATTAGTTTGGTATTTTATTAGTATTATTATTTATAATTTTAATTATATTTAACTCTTTAGTGCTAATCAATATTTTTAACAGTTATTTACGAATAATTGTCATCCATGAAATTCACATGAATAGTGGAATATAAAAGTATTATGTTGTAGCTATATATATAGAAAAATATTTTTGCAATTACTGCAGATAAGTTATCTGCTTTTACTTCCAAAACGACGTCGTTTTGAGATTAAAAAATTAAAACTATAAAGACTATAATAATTCTGAAATAAATTAAAATTACAAAAATATCATGATTTTCGTCTCAAAACGACGTCGTATTGAGCTTACTGCAAAAAAAGTGAACCCTATATATACATGGGTTTGGTGTTTGTCATTTTAAATGACATAAGTTATGTCATTTTAGGAAAGAGATAGACACAAAAAATGGAAATCATGGGAGAGAAAAAGTGGATGGTTTTTTTTAATTTAAATTTTGAATAAAAAAAATTATTTTGTATCTCTCTCTTAAAATGACATAACTTTATGTCATTTAAAATGAGAAACATTTTTTTCTATATATATATACATATATTTAAAATGAGAGAATAATATTTCTCATATTATAGGAGATGAATTTTATCTTTTACATACATATAAAAGTGTATGAGGCCTCATATTTTTTTTTCTATCTTTTCTTTATATGATCTCACATAGATTCCACATACTATTATATATGTATAGAAAATAAAATTATCTCTTGTAACATAAAATTGTCTATCCTTTTAAATGACACAACTTATGTCATTTCACTCTCACAAAGAAGTGGGACGGGACCAACACATTTATTTTTGTTGTCAACTCTCTTTTCCCTTTATCTATCTCTTTCTTTATCTTAAAATAACATAATTTTACATCATTTAAAATAACACACACTTTTCCATCGTAATAAACTTAAAATAAAATACATGTATAATAGCCACAATGTAACAAGAAAATTTTAAATAAAAAGTGAATTGATGGTTAGATTGCGTGTGTTAATCTTCACTTACCAATTTTGAGCCTTCACATGTACCGCACTGACCTTACCGCACCCGAAAAAACATGCGCATAGAAATGGAAGTCTCATTGTTGACCAAAAAAATAAAAAATAAAATAAAAGTGCTATTAAATGCGAGAGATGTTGTGGAAGGAAACAGATATATATATCATCATTTATCGATCCTCGCCTCTCACCTCAACTCAACCTCGCACTTCTTCACCTTCTACGTTATCCTCTTCCGACACCGAAACGCGTCGTCGTTTTATACTCTTCGATCCACATTCCTCCTACTCCAACCCTAACTTCTCAGATCACCATCCTCTTCTAAACAAAAACCCTAAAATTTTCATTTCTTTATATCTTTATTTTCCCGATCTTGTCCCTTCACTGGAACTCTTCGTCTTCGTCTTTCTCGTGATTTCACTGTGGGAATTCGATTACGGTAACCAAACCAAAAATTAAAAAAAAATAATTAAATTAAATTGAAAAGAAAGAAAGGTTTTAGGTTGTTCTGAGCTGGGATTGAAAATGGTGGGAGGAGGAGGAAGCAGGAAGGATGAGGTTCCGGTGATAAACAGTACCAACGTCTTTGCAGCGCTCGGGAGCTTGAAGAAGAAGAAGAAGAAGCCCGAGAAGGAGCAGGGCTCGTCCAAGACCGGAGGCGAAGAGACCGAGAAGAAGGATGTTTTCTGGGCTCCGGCGCCGCTCACGGTGAAGTCCTGGGCTGATGTCGACGATGAAGATGATGACGACTATTACGCCACCACGGCTCCTCCTCAATCCGTTTGGGGCGCTCCGTCTTCTGAGACCGCGACTGAACGCGACGCCGCTCCAGAGGTGAAAATTTATTCCCTTTTTCCGTCTTGCTTCTAGCTTGCCTTAATTATTTGAAGTTTTTACTGTCGATGATGATGCTTATTAGACTGTATAATCCTAGCTGTGCCCGTTACTCTGGAATATTTTTGTGAATCCTTTAGTTTCAGTCTGGATGGTTTGTCTTTAACCAGACTGGGTATGTTGGATTGGTTGAGGTGTTTGGACAATGGACATCACCTCACAGCAATACAAAAAATAAATAAGTAAATAAATAAATTTAATGCATAAATATTTTGATGAAAGTTAATTTGCAATGAAATGCTTCATTGACTATGAGGTAAAGGGAAATGTATGTGTTTCAACAGGGACTGATCAGTTAGGGATTTCGGTTGTGTTGGTGTGTTTCTGTTTTGTTATTTTTTTTAACTTTCGGTTATATGTGGGGTTTTTTGAGTTGGATGGCTTTATATCTTTGGGGGGAAAGACTTGTGTTGAATATTGAATGATTTACTTGATTGGCATGAAAGCTATGTAACTTTCAAATTTAATAGATACGATGTTGAATATTCCATTAGTCTTGTTTGTTGATAATGATTATTCGAATCTTATTCCGGTTGTCTAGCTTCGCGACAACAATTATCAATCCTTGTCAAGTTGTCACATGTATGTGGTATGTTAACCGTTCCGTGTTTTGGCATATGGTTTTGCATGCAATTAACGACCTTGTCTTTGTCGGTTTCCTAATTTGATTATAATGGTATTAGGGTTCTTTCTATTAGGGTTCTTTCTACTTTCTCACGTGTCTGATCTTATTTTGTTAAACTATAACTAACGGGGAATATGCAATGTAGCCTGTAATCTGCATGATTTATGTTGACAGTTTTATGATTTGGCATCTGGTTTACGTGCAATTAATGACTATGTCTTTGTCAGTTTGCTGCTTTGACTATAACGGTACTGGGTTTCTTTCTACTTCCCATGTGTCTGATCTTATGTAGTCAAATTGTTATTATGTCATAACTAATGTGAATATGTAATGTAGCCTGTAATCTTCACGGACTGGCCTTGCACATTACACATTGATTATGGAAGTAATAAAAATAGCATAACTGGACGCATTGGAGGTTCTTTTTTCTTGGCCTTAATGACAAATAAACTGAACTTGTGTTTATAGGAATGATAAGATCACTCTAGCAAATGTCTAGAGTTGCTAAGATAGTTCTTTGTTAATAAGTATCAAGCAAGCTGATGTTGGCTAAAATAGTTGCTAAGCAAGCATCTCACAAGCTTTAGATGTAACCTTAGAATTATTTTAGGGTAAAGACTTGGAATAGTCATTACAAATTCCCAGATTTAATGGATTGTGATAGGAACCGGGTGTTTTATTACAGATAAATAGGGATAAACCCCAATTACAAAAATCAAAATCACTCACTGAACAAGAAAACACAAGATAGAACATGACAGAACTCTGAGATTTGCAAACCTCCCTGCCCAAAGGCCCCAAAACTGGATGAACCTTTCCCCTACCGTTTCCTCCCTTTTATCTTTGCTTCTAATTGTTTCCCGTTCCTCCCCACCCTACTTGCCACATAGGCAAGTTTGTTACAACCCAAATCCCTCTTCTGCCCCTTACTCCTATTCCCATGTGGTCTAGCATTGGAGCGCCCAACAAACTGCTCAACATTATTCTTGGGGAAACCAATAGGTTCTAAGGTGGGCATTGGAACATCTGCAATAGGGTCAATGACTTTGTGCTTAGTTGTGAAATTTATGAAGCCAAAACAAAAATTAGGCTTATTGTTCCTGACTTCCTGTACAATTTATGGGTTTACATCCAAAGTAAATGGAAATGAAGACTGCATGGTTTTGATAGTTCATATTTTAGGATTATATTGTCACTAATTGTATATCTAAATTTTAGAGATTCATGAGTTGCTAGTTTCTGTGCCTATGTGGATGAACTGGTTAATTTTGATAAAGATTGCGTCTTCTCCGATCAGTTGGATTTAAGATTTACATTGAACAGTTGGTGTCAAGGATGGATTGAAGCTGGCATCTTTACTATTTCGAGATAAAGGAAAATTGAAAATTTATACAAGGAAGAAAATATTAGCCTTGTTCCATTTAATATGATTCCTATCAATACCTCACCCATGATAGGTAGCATTGATGGGGTTAATACATTGCCAGGTAGGCTAGAAAGGCAGATAATGCTGGTAGAGATATTCCCTTTTTTGTAGAAGGGGAAAAAGTATTAAAAAGAATCCTAAATTGTCATGGAAAATTGAAATTGTAAATCCAATTTTGATTATATTTTTGATTTGTAATAAATGATCCTTGCCCATCCAGTTATTGTATTTTGCTTTTTGAGGAAGAGAATAGAAAGGGTATTATTCCAATAGTATTGTTGTCAAATTAGGAACAAGATTCCTGCAAAAAGGTGAATGTATAAAGATATATCGGGTTTTATTTTGTCAACAATATCAATCTCACTCAAATATGGAGCTTAAGCCAAGTTGATTATTACTTTGTACTCTTTAGTAAATGAGTGTCATCCAATGGAAAATCCATTCATGGGCTATTACCGGAAATAAAAAATATATATTAAGTGGCATATATCACTGAATAAAATTATCTGATTTGTATATGAGGTTACTATTGCCTGTTCATAAAGACATAAACATCAAAAGTCCAAGCATGGTTTTCTTTTTTTAAATTCAATTAATAATCAGTCTTAACTACACTTCTCCCCCGGGCGTGTGCATGTATACTTCTCTTGATGGCCATTAATACTTCTCTTGATGGCCATTATTGTTACATTGCATTATCATTGGTTTACATCCATAACCAGTAGATTTGATGAATATTTGAAACCAGGAAAGTGAGAGTGAGTTAGAAGGTCTCGATGATGTTGAAGATGATGCTGAGGATGAACATGAAAATGACTTAGAAATGCCAGCAGAAGCTGAGCCTGTTCTTCAAAAGCCTCATGAGCCGTCACTGGTTACCAAAGAAACTGAAAGACAACTTTCAAAGAAGGAATTGAAGAAAAAAGGGCTTGAAGAGCTTGAAGCTGTTTTGGCTGAGCTAGGATACCCACAAACTGAACGCAGTGGCCAGGATGATTCCCATGGTAATATAATGCTTTTATTCATATGTAAAATCTGCTTTCAATATTTTAGTTTTCTCAAGTGAAATATATAACTAACTCAAACTTTCTTACTTGGAATATTTTGTCTGGCCTTTGAAAATTTAGGTGCAGAGAAGAAAGAAGAGGATCGCAACGGTGAGGTGGAAAAGAAGGAGAATGCTGCTGGGGAAAGCAAAAATGCAAGAAAGAAGAAGAAGAAGGATAAGTCTTCCAAGGAGCAGAAAGAATCACAAGACCAGCCTGATGGTGCGGATGTTGGAAATACAACATCTGAAGCTGCTGAAACGGAAAAGGCTGAGGATGTACCTGCCTCTGATGTTAAAGAGCGGCTTAAGAAAGTTGCCTCTATGAAGAAGAAAAAATCAAGCAAGGAGATGGATGCTGCTGCCCGTGCTGCCGCCAGTGAGGCTGCTGCAAGGAGTGCAAAGCTTGCCGCTGCGAAGAAAAAAGAGAAGGGTCACTACAATCAGCAGCCAGTGCGGTAAACAGGCTGGCAAAGTATCTGTATCTCTTCTTGGCTGTTTATTTTTTATTTTGTCCTTTTCATTTCCTGTCTTTCTTTATCATATATGAGCATAGGCTCTTTGTTGTTTTGCAGATGCAAAATAAACATTGGAGCGGTTTTAGATATAAGTTGACTTTGAGTAAGTTTTTGTCTAATTTTACTTGGGGGGAAATAGAATTATATGTTCTTCATCTTTCTTTATCATATATGAGCATAGGCTCTTTGTTCTTTTGCAAATGCAAAATAAACATTGGAGCGGATTTAGATATATATGACTTTGAGTTAAGTTTTGTCTAATTTTATTTGGTGGAAAATAGAATTATATTTTCTTCATTTTTCTTCTGCGCTGGCTACTGTTTTATGCTGAATCTCTTTTTCTTTGTTCTTGGAGTCGTGCTCTAGATTTCAAGGTAATGAATCAGGCGTGTATGTTTGCTTCAACTCCACCTCCCCTCCCCAAACTCACGTTTTTGCATGTCGATGAATATCTAATGACGTTCATGAATAACTAGGTAATTCATCCGGATGTTAAGATGCGGTGGGATTACGTGATCAAATGTCCGAATTTGGGATGAAGCTCCCATGATCACGTTCAGTCCCCGTTTGAATTCAAGAGAAGATATTAGTTGGACTATAAATGAGTCTGCTTTGACATTCTGACAACAACTTTTCATATAGAGTATAATTAATTAGAGCTCGTTTGGATTTTTTTTTCCTCTCCAAAAGTTTTTTTTAAAAAAAAAACAAAATATATATATATATATATATATATATATATATATATATATAGTATCATTACAAACTAGTGTTTAGATGTTTACTTTTTAAAAAAGTCAAAAGTTAATTTATTTTTTTAAAATTCAAATTTATCTTAATCCCAATCAACTTCTTTTACCATTGTCATTGCTATCACCATTATCATTATTATCTTCGTCATTTTTGCTGCTACCACCCTATCATTGTTGCCATCATTACCCCTATATTATTGTCGTTATCATCATTTCCACCATCGTCTTTATTATCCTACCACCACTGCCATCACTATTGCCTTTACCCTAACCAAACTTACTTCCATGATTTGTTCTCATTTTCATTTTAGTAATTTTATGAATGAAAGTGTTTTTTTAATTTTAATATCTAAATACAAATAGCTTTATCTTTTGAAAAAGTCATTCTAAAATAAGCAAAAAAAATTATCCAAATGTGCCCTTAATTGGTGGTCAAACGCTCTTTCTCTGCTTCTTATTTTCTTTCAATTTTAAATAGTGCACGATATATATCTCGAGTCTTAACTAGTTACCGAGTTGAAAATTGTAATTATTGCAAAACGAATATAATAGCTCACGTTAAGAATATCATTAGAGAAAAAAATTTCAAACTAAATTTAGTTTACGTTAATCGATGAATATATCTAAAATGACAATTCTTATTTCATGCCAAAGGATATTTTTGCTACGCGTTTATGCGCTAGCATTATAGGGTACCATTTTAGCCGTATGTATTGACAAAAGTAATACTAGAGATCTATGTGTCATCATAAAATTAGTAAAAATTATTAAACTCCCGCTACAACTTTTTGAGTGCTTATGTGTTGAGCAATATTACCAAATTAGTTAATAATATTGACCATTAGCTACCACCACTATAGTACCAATGAACACCATTAACTATTGGCTAGCTCCACTATTTATTTTTATCACCACCACTCATTGTCACTAGCTACTATTATTGCTATCGGTCAATCAACCATGACGATCGTGACCTACATTCTTGAAATAAAATCATTAAATTCATGACAAATTTTTATTTTATTCAAATATTATTTAAATTATTTTTATCATGTTATTTGGTATGTATATAATTTTTTTATCTTGAAATTTTTTGTGAGTTATTTATATATTTTATTTAAAATTATGATTTTTAAGTTTGTTTTAAAAATAAAATAAAAACTAATATATAAATAAGTCAAATGGAAAAGAAAATAAGTTTAAAAATTATTATATGAAGTTACGTTAAAAGTGATATTTTTATCTATTTATCTATCTATATCATATATCGATATTATCTAATTCCCCCTAGAAAAAGATTAGCTAAGATAATCATATTAGACTGTTTATTTAGTGCAAATCAAAGATGGGATAAAATATGAATTTATCATATCCTTATCTTATTTTATTCTTAGTCAAACCTCTTACCCTATATATTTTTATATAATTTTTCCATCTAATGAGTAAAAATAAATAAATTTAATTGTGACCATAATAAAGAAAAAATTATGCTTGTTATAACAAGTGTCATGAGGTATACATACATGAACATTACTATAGATTAGATTAAATTAGATAGGTGTAATTTTTTTAAATCAATTTACTTGTAATTAACCATTAGTTTTGTGGTCAGAATTTTAATTAAGTATAGGCAGTTGAGTGATTAACCACCAGTAAATTATTAGAATTAATTTGATTTATATTTTAAAATTTAAAAATAAAATTTAAATTGATTTAGAAATATTTTTATTGTAAAAGTAAAATCAAGCCAATTTAATATCTTAACCAAATCAATTGTATTTATTACTTACAGTTGTAAAAGTATTTGAATGTCTAGTTTGGCGAATAAGAGTCTATCCCTCCTCCAATTGACACTCTCTCTTTTCTCTCTCCCCATTTCTGCTACGTCAACTCGATCTCAGAAAAAAAATTAGAACATGTTATGAAACAAATTTTTTTTTTCATAAATTGTTCCTAAACACAGAAATAAAAAAAAAATTGTTTTTTTTTTTCAAAAACAGTGCGAGGAAGCAAAATTATTGTCATGCACACCCTATATGTTATGACATTTTTAGTATAAATCAAGAGAAGATATTATCGTTTGGTGAACATGATAGGATAAAAGTAGGATATGATATGGGGCTAATAAGCCTATATCATGTCCTGTGTTTGACGAGCATCTAATTAGCAATCTGATAAGATTATGTAGAAGGAGAAAGAAAAAACAAAAAAACAATATATAATGCAATAAATACAAATATATTGGATAAAGTGAGGATATATTGGGTATCCAATATTAATATCATATCTTGTTGAATCCTAACCCAGCTCCTCCCATAGGATAAGAAATCAAGTATTGAATAGGAAAAAATGAGACAATAGGATAAACTAATCATATCCTATTGACCCACCAAACAAGAGATAAAAGTAGGATATGATAAATTATCCTATCCTATTTTCCTTATCAGGTGCTCCAAACAGACCCTAAATCAGTCTGCTTTGACATTCTGACAACAACTTTTCATATATAGTATAATTAATTAGAGCTCGTTTGGATTTTTTTATATTTTTGCTACGTGTTTATGCGCTCGCATTATAAGAGGCGTTTGGTAGAGGAGAAATTTTTTTTTATGCGGGAAATAATTATTACCGGAATATAGGGAAAAATATATTTTACTGGAATGTTACTAAAAAGTTATTTGGTAGATCATATTTTCTCGGAAAAATTAAGTTAATTTTACTAAGTTTGTGTTTGATTGGTTATGAAATAATAGTGAGAATGTGAAGTTATTTTATCAAAATAACCCAACCTTTTTCGCTTTTGGTAGACCATATCTACATATCGTACTTCCCCACAAGGTTAATTTTGTCTACTTTTTCACACTTTAGTTTTCCTTCCCTGAGCAGCCAACATTTCACAAATTTTATGGATTTACAATTTGTCAGACTGTACACAAGTTAACACACAAGAGGATTTTCTCGGAAACAAATTTGGCCGGGCAACTTTGAAGATTTTAGCTGCCAAATGTGGAAGACTTTTTTCCCCTACTTCGCTTCAGAAATAAATCGCGTACCAAACGCACCCTAGAGGATACCATTTTAGCCGTATATAACTATATATTGACAAAAGTAATCCTAGAGAACTACGTGGGCATTTTGACTAGGAGTGTTCGCGGTCTGGATTGGATCAGTTTTGGAAGCAAAACTCATCCGATCCAATCCCTTCGGTTTGATCATGTAATCATCCATTCGGTTTAGATTTTTTTTCAAATCTGATCCGATCCAATCCAACTTTTTCGGTTTGGATTGGATCGGTTTTCGGTTTTTTGAATATCTTAAAATTAGTTTCATGATTCTTGTGCAAATAACATCTTTTGTATATATTGGCTTTGTAAAAAAAAAATTGAAATACAAAAATATCAGTAAACAATACTATAGTTGATGAGACGTGACTAAGTTTTTTTTGTGTTTAGTTGATGAGTTAATGAGTCTTGAGTTTAGAAATTTTTGGGCTACGATTGGAGAAAGGTCAAGTAGGTAGAGAATAATTAATATATTGGATCGGTTTGGATTGGATCGGTTTTCATCAACCCATCCGAAAACCGATCCAATCCAATTAAAATTTGCGGTTTTCTTTCGGTTTCCGATTTTTCGGTTTTCGGTTTATTCGGTTATCGGTTTTTCGGTTCGGTTTTTGCGGTTTGAATCGGTTTGGATCGGTTGATGAGCACCCCTAATTTTGACCCTTTTTTCCTTCATTAATTAATTAATAACCATTTTTCCCCTTATTAAAAACTATCTACCAATCTGTCACTCTTTAATCGATTAACTTGAAGATTTAATCGATCAAATGGTCAAAACTGGCAAAAATGATTGACTTGAATATTTAATCGATTAAATCTTCAAGTTAATCGATTAAATCTCCCAACAGACAAAAAAGGTCAAATCTCCTCCATAAACAAAAGCAGATTCCATGCATATGATCCTATTGTCAACCTCGGAACGATGACAGTGATCAAGGCGAACAACGAACCCTTCCCGTCTTGCATATTCATCATAAAAATACTTAGAAGAATCTTCAATCAGTTTTTCATGTATTGGAGGTTATTTGAATTTTGAATTTAATGTAATAGGAGTTAATTGCGAGTTGTATTTAATATGACAAACTCGTAAAACGGCAACTCCTAATAAAACGCAATCAGCTCCCATTAAATACAAAACACAATCAACTCCTATTAAATACAAATCGCAATCAACTCCTATTACATTAAATTCAAAATTCAAATAACCTCAAATACCGTGTTTGTCTCATTCAATCAATGTTTTCACGCTCATTTGAGATATTTAATCGATTAAATATAAGTTTTAATCGATTAAGAGGGATATTTAATCGATTAAATTTTCAAGTCAACTATTTTTGTCAGTTTTGACCATTTAATCGATTAAATCTTCAAGTTAATCGATTAAAGAGGGACTGATTAGTAAATAGTTTTGGATAAAGGGTAAAATAATTATTAATTAATTAATGAAGGGCAAAAG